CCTTTTGCCTGATTTCTGCCTGATTTTTGCCAAGCCTTACATACCTTACAATTACCAATCTAACCACCCTCTTGTTACGAACCTCAAAGAGGCGCAGGGGCCGCAGCTATTTGAGGGGCAACCGAGAACCAATCATTCCCCGGACGCCAGGCACTAGCGTCATCACGTGCGTTTCGGTATACTTGGGCGTGCCCAGAGGGGCCCTAAGGCAGATACTCAGGACAGGAGCCAGAAACGGACTGCGGCTAACCGTTACAACCAATACCCACTTACCTGACGGGACGGTTAGCGCGACGCAGGGAACGACCACCCCGCACGTGACCCGGGTGGTAGAAAGGTAGATAGGTATACGGGTAGAATATGCTAATAGTCATCTACTACTGTACTATCTACTATCCTACCACATATACTATCGAGAGGGACTAGATATATAAGGACACTTATTCAGCATTATGTATTTAGTTCTTCGCGATCAATCTCACATTATTACTTGGTTACTACCTTTAGTACTTCGCACTTTATAGTTCACCTTAAGACAACCTAACCTACAAGTAGGGGATTCACTTAGTGGTAACACTTCGTGATTGACTTACTTAGCGCGCACTTCTGGCACATTCCGCAAGATACTTAACAGGACCCGAACCCGACGTAAGGCTTTGCATAGCATCGGTACGGTTGCGAGATACTCTTGGAATTCACAGTTGGAATCAGGCAAGTATAACCCGAGGGCATTGTAACTCACAGTGACCAGTCGGCTACGCGTAACACCTCTTTCGTCTTATACACACACGCATCTTTTCCTTCTTCTCTTCTATCTTCTACTACTAGGCCTATCACATGGACTTCTACTAGCCCTACTATAATCACATAACCCATATAACAATCTGATTCAATCTATTTTACTGAAAACCTCCACCTCCCCACCCTACCAACCATGGATTTTCCAGAGTCTCATACAATACCACCCACGCTACCACTAAGCCTACCACAATTCTATGCAACTATTAACCTTACAAAGGAAGCTCTTCAAGAATCAGCAAAGGAACAGGGTTTTACCCTAGTAACAAGAAGGTCTAATCCAAAAAGGATTGAACTATCTTGTTCCCTTTAGCCAGAGCCTACTAGGAAAGACCCTTTAGTCTTATCTAAGGCTAAATCTCGCGAGGTTATCAAAATTAGGACTGATTGCCTGTACATAATATATATCAGCTATCGGAAGGGTAAGAAAGGGGCCTCTGATTATTATAAGATAGTGGTTAAACATAGTGAACACAATCATAGCCTAACTCCACTAAATCTCCTAGTTCCACTACGGCAAAAAGAGAGGAAATGAAAGGAAGCGCGACTCCTTAATTACTTCGAAAAAGGCCTAAATCCCATAGCAATGTCAACACTTCTAGAGCCCGAAAAGAGTCTATTAAACTTAAGAGACCTTAATAACCTCCACTCCCGAACTAGATCTATTTTCCTTGCCGGGCGCACATCAATTGAAGCAGTAGTAGAGAGCCTACCTAGGTGGATTATACAATATAAATTATATAGAAGGCAGCGGCTAATCAAAATCCTTTTTATCTTAAGGATAAGCCTTCAATCTCTTTATATTTATCTAAATAATCTATAGATTGATACTATATACAAGACAAATCGGTAAGATAGGATAAATAAGAGAAAGATAAGAGGAAAGTAAGAGAAAGATAAGAACTAATTTACTTCGGGTAACAAGGTATAATATACCGATAATCAATATTGTCGGACAAACCTTAACAAGGAAAACCTTCTACGTAGCCTATTGCTTTGTTAATAATAAGCAAGAATCGTCGTATCTTTGGACATTTCAAGCTCTTCAGACACAGCTTACACAAGCAAAGATTCAAGCTCTAGGTATTATCTTCTCCGACGACGTAGACTCTCTTCTAAATATATATAAGGAGATCTTTAAGGATTCAACTTACATACTCTGTCTCTAGTATATTATAAAGAACATTAAAACTCGTGTGCGGCTAATAATTTTAAAGCAATTACTCTTATAAGACCCTGATTTAAACGTTCTAAAGAAGATGTCAACATGAGTGGGTGCATAAGCCCATGAGAGCTATCGAACTTGACAGAATGCGACGGAACGTCCACGTGACGACGATCTTCAACGATTGACATCAACAACTTGCACACATGACGAAAGAGCTTCAACACTCTATATTTCTCTTGATTTCTATGAGATTCTAGTCTGACGTATTGCCTCGATTTCATGAAGTTATAAATACTGCCTGTTTTCCATAGCTAGTTAAATCAAGTTTAATGATTGTGATGAAGTTGGAGCATTCTTCTATCATAAGTTAACTTCCGATTCTGAGCCGAATCGTACGACCTGACTTGACCTATACGATTCTTCGCCAATCGTATACTGATTTGACCAACCGTGCACACTCGCTTGCTTGTGCACGCCGAAGGATTTATGCTGACCCCGTAAATCCGACACATCTCCTTCCTGTTTGGGCGATAAGACTATATATAAATTGACCTATGTTGAAGAGGTTTTACGATCCTCAAGAAACAGTCTTTGACTATCTCACACAATTGACTTAGCTCCGTTTTTTCTTACCTCATTGACCGGCCTCTACCCTGACTTGTAGAGTATCCTTACAACTAGTTATATATAGAACTCCTGTGGGTCCTTATCTTTTATTTAGCGGGCCCTTTTAAGCTAGCTTATTACTTCAGACTAGAGACTAGCTATATTTTTAATAAGAGTTAGGGTTTAAGTCCGACTGTTGTGATAGCGGCTTAGATCTCTCTTAAATAACTACTTGAGGTTTAGGAGCTATTCCTATTATTACTGTAATAAAGAATTAAGAGTGAACGTAAGAATATTTTTAAGCCGAATATCTTGATCCTTTCCTAATAAATCGTAGGGGTCCTAGTATAGGTTCGATAGGGTTTCGATTAGGTTTCGTCCTATAAGCTATAATCTAAGCGCTTCAGCTTCGTCTTAAAGGTCTTTAAGCCTCTATAGCTTCTCTATAGTAGCTTAAGTAGCTATAAGGTTAGCGTTAAGATCAGTCAGGGTTAAACCCGGGTCGGTCGTAAGTAGGATTTCCTTTACAATTCAAAGAGGGTTCGGTACCCCTTTAGCAGAGAGAGTAGAACAGGTCCTTAGTGCTATTTCTCCTAGGTGATCGAAGAAGAAGAAACAGAAATTATAAAGATATACTCTATAAGTCAGGGTAGAGGCTTGTTAATCAGGTAGGAGAAAGGAACTAAGTCATTTATTCAGAAAGGTCAAAGACTGTTTCTTGAGCAATGTAAAACCTCTCTAACGCAGATCAATTATATACAGTTATATCGCTTAAAACAGGAAGGAGATATATCCTTGGTAGGGGAATAGGAGCGGGCAAAGCACGAGGCTTGTGTAACCTCTACAAGGGTCATCCTTGCAGGAGTTCGTACACGTACTAGCAGCGAAGCCCCAGTGAACCTCCACCGAAAGCTTGCCGGCTTACCAGGGCCCTGGTAGCCTGAGACGCCAAAATTTGTGAATAACCTCATGTCAGGTGTCCCGTAACAATCTATGACAGCTAGAATAGAGCCACCACCATCGGGATAGTTTCGTACGCCGAAATAGCCGCTGAAAGCTGTCTTCATGGTTGCTCATGCGGGGAAATCTCTCTGACAGAGTTTCTTCCTTTCCGGCCTAGTTTAGATTCTTTATCTAGGATCAGCTCCTTTCCATATCCCTGTTTTTCTTGCACGCAAGTGGCTTTCCATCGGCTTGAATTGTTTATTGTTGATCAAGACCCCTTCCCCTTCTTCTACTTGTCAGGAGGTTTCGTTCGGATCATCGACGGCTATACCATCATCTCCTCCTGTCGTACTTTTCTCCTAGCTTTAATAGATTCCTAGATCGCTAGATTGACAACATTCTTTCTCCCCCACTTTTTCCTTTTGCGTAAGATTCACCCGCGAAAATAAATTGCGATTCCAGTAAATAGCGGCCTAAATACTATTAATACCCCTTAGATCGAACTTAGGTGAATACCCCTATTGTCAATTGGGATTGTTTTTGTACTAGGGCCGGGCATTTGTCAGCGTAAAGTGGTTCATGGAATTCATACATGAGTTATGCTGGAATTTGAAAATGTCTATCTTTGCCAAGCATTTGCATGCCTCTTTTCGAACTGTTACAAACGTGTCTTGATAATATTACTGAGAAGATATCGTACTTCTGGTGAATAAAACCAAGCCAAATCTCGGCGCAAGAATTTGTCCCTTTAACAGTAGCCCAGGCCTGCAAACTTTGGTGTCGGACAGGAGGTCCCTGGTTTGTTGATCATTCCGTAGCTACGACGACGTACTCCGCACATGTGCTAAGTAGTTAACTAGTTACGTTAACGTTATTAATAATTATTCATTACTAAGCAGTTTAGAATACTCCAACGTCGATCGAAAGTGATCTCCATTTACTAACACACTATTTTAACTACGTATTCTCAGGCCGGGCGCACCTGATCTTAAAACTGCTTAGGCCTTTCCACCAGACCCGTCGCTTTGCTTCTAGCAAGCAGTTCAGTCTGCACTGTTTGCGAGGGTCCTTACTTCTAAAAATGACCTGATAAGCCTATTTCGTGCCGCATCCTCGTCGCCAAGTCGATCTGATGTCCCTCAGCTTCAACCGGCTCTGTATCAGCATTTCTACCACGTCCTTCCACTCAGCAACGAACTTGTGGTCTAGAAGCTATCATAGGATTTATCTACGCCATCTAGCCTCGCTCGGGACCCCTTCTTGACTACAAAAATCGGCACGAGCGTAGAAAGAAGTTGGTCTACCTGCGCTCCGGATGGGGACATTTGTCGAGGCTTTTTATCTAACCGGGAAATTATGATTTGTACCTGTACAGCAACGATAGTAAGGGATGGTGTGCAGTGATTCAAGCTTAGTTGTTCAAAAAAGTGACAGAAGAGCTCCGGAGAGAAGTGGCACAGGCGCAGAGAAACCGGCTGTGCAATCAAAGAATCACATTAGGATAGTCCTCCTTTGGCGGCACCACAGGGCAAAGCACATAATTAGTTCGACCTCCTCCAACAAGGATGGTATTTGTCCCCTTCTCATGAACTTCGCCATACATCACTCTAAAATCTGGCTTGATGTAGCCTGGGATGTCAGGTTGATCCTCGGAAGGGGTAATATCGACTCGGAGCTTCCATCCCTTCCGGATCTTTGCTGCCGCCGGGTAGATTTCAACATCAATCTGGACCGCCTCACCGGGGTGTAGTGGCGCATTGTCAGCCTTTGTATGTGTGTGCCATGGCCTTTCCGGGAGCGTTTTAGCGCCATCGGTCTTGCGATGGCTTGCACGCAGGAAGCCTTTCGCCAGTGGTTCAGGCTGGCCCCTTGCGCCCAATGGGACCACCTGCCCGTCTCCATGCACGGGCCATAAAGTCACCACCACGTCCGCTTCAGGCGCAGACGAGGAGATACTCAGGGTTGCACTAAAGTGACCCGCGAATTCGACATCTTCCTCAAAAGGAGAAGAGTAAAAGCTAACCCCCGACTTGCCCGTCACCGGCGCTTTGGTGGAATAGGCAAACTCCGTGGCCGGATCTTGGCCCGGGTCCGTCGCAAGCATTCCCTCTGCTGTCAGATGCCATTTCTTGTACTGAATACCAGGTACCGGCCAGGTCTTTTCCTTCCGCCAATACCATCTTCCGTGCCCCAGTCGGACGTGGATTCCGACTGTCTCCGGCTTCGGATGTTCATTTCCCTTCAGGTGGTGGTCAAGGAATTGCATTATCTTCCCTGCAGATTCACGGCTAGGCCAGGGATAATAGTCGCGCGCAACGAGCTGGAGGTGAGTGTTTTCTGCATTGCAGGCTCTCCACGCTTCATACGCACCTCGGCCGTGGATCATGAAAATTTGAGCAGCGGCTAGGAAACAAGGTATGTCACACTGGTCCAAACTTTTATTGGTCATTTCCCAAATTGCGTCATAGAAGGGATGTTCGTTCATCAACTGCATAAGGTCCGTACTTTCCCCCCATTGAGGTGAGCATGCTTGGACCCGAGAAAACCAATCGGCCAGGTAAGTGATGGCAGGGATCCCTCCAGTATAAGCCGCTTCACGATATAAATCGAGATCCGCTGTAGCCAAAATAGTCAGTGGCCCAAATAGCCCCTTTCGTCATTCAGAAACTCACTCGCATAAGGCACGAAACACTTCAGCCCCTTGGGCTTCAAGCGCGCAACATCCCACTGGGTATTCGCACCGTAAGAGCTTCCGACCATAGCAACATTACCGTCGCTCCAGCTCTGCTCGGCGGCCCATTCGACAGCATCACGGAAATCGCTGGTAATCTGGCCTGGTATACCTCTAGTACCCGGTGTCTGGGACACGCCCCTCGGATCAACTTTCACCATTGCATACCCGCGGGGCACGTAAGTGAAAGTGTTGAAGGTCCCAATATTTTCGAAGCCTCTTTGCAATGCCCAGCTTTTGCCCCAGGGTTCTCTCGGAACTTGTATTTCGACGGTGGAGGCAGTTGAATGCCACTCATCCTCAGCCCGCTCAAAAGCGGCAATTTCATCCTGGCTCTCCAGGTTTGGGCCGGAATAGAAAACCCGACGGCCATATATGGTGCAGCTAACTAAGACAGGATATCTCTTTTCCGGTTGCAGAGGCAAGTACACATCTCCCAGTACATAGCTTCCATCCTGCGTGGGGATCTTCAAATCGCGCATTACCTTGAAGCCCGCTTCGTAACGTCGCAGATGGTTTCGAGTATGCGACACGGTCTTGGGAAAAAGGCCCAACTCATTGCAGATACCGGCGAGAGGGACATCAATGTCTGACAAGTTGCGAGAATCCAAATCGATCTGAGAAGCATACTTCTTGATAGCCTCTCGAATCTTTTGGGTAGCAGGAAATCTGGTTAGCGACTGATTGGGTAATTATAACTCCCTTGGATGACCGACCTTGCTATCAATAATAATCGGGGCTTCTAATCCTTGACCCGTGGTAAAGCTGAAGAGAAGCCTCGCTCGATTGATCAATTTGGGATCGGAATAGGACGTTTCAATGGGGACCAGGTCGTAGATGGTAAGGAAGTTCTTGCCAACAGACTGTCCGATTACCAGGTCTCCAATAGAGAACGTAACGACGGCACCATCATCATAGGAGTATGTGCAGTCCGTCGCGGTAACACCAATAGTGGAGTTACAATGATACGAGAGCCCGACAACGTCGGAAAAGATACCCTGTGCGCTCATAGTGTAAAGGAAGAATACTGGTTTGCAATATGCCCCACGAAAGTCATTCCCGCTTTGGCGATATTACTGCTATCAATATATATGTATGCGGTGGAAAATTTAGCGGCCCATTCGTCTAACAATTCAGGATGTCCCGGCAACAAGAATAATTCCGAAGGCGGGATCATCTTAAGAGGACTATCGGAGAGTTCTAATTACGTGATTCTTTTTTGCAGAAATTCGAGTCCCTTTGTCATCCCGGAAGGGCCTCTCAGCGGGCTCTCTGTGCTTCTGAACTTGTAATTCTGGAGCATCACGGCAATTGTGCCTGATCTTACTTTGCATTGTTCCTTGGCTACGCGATGGAAACTGACTTTCCAGAGCTGTGCCTTAACTTCGGATATTCGGACATTTTCACCTAAGGATGTTAGCGCCTGTCGGAGTTTCGGCTCTTTCTGATTCGCTGTTTCGCGAGGACAACTCTGACCCCTTTGTGTATATACGTAGACTGGAGGGGTTTCTAGCCCTGGTTCTCGTGATCGATTGCCACTCGGAACTTCGCAACATGGATTTCCGAATTCAACGCATCACTTAGGGCCGCTACGTAGATCTCCTGTCTTAAACCCCGGTACCATTTAATCAGGTTAACTACTCAAGTTCTAGATCCTACGATATCATAGTACACTGCGTCCTTTACATGGACATGCCTTACCCGAATCGGAGGTTCGCGGGGCAGTCGGCGTGTGCGAAAACCGTGCCAGCACGATTTAGCGGGGAGGTTTCGCTATGTCCGAGTGCTAACACCGAACACATCTAATATGTATGGCATGTACGTGCCAGAGAATGCGCTGCATCTGGTCTCGCTCTCTGAACAGCGCATCTGTGGGCTGTATAATGTCTTGCTGCAGACTAGGCGTGGAACGATCGTGACTGGTATGTCACTCCCTTTAATGTGAAGTACGTAGTCGGCTACATCGGCCAGCGGCTTTCACGCGAGGAATGTTCATATAAACTGTAAGACTAGAGCGGAAGGCGAGTGAACTTGGAAGCTACTTCTAGCAGAACGTAGATCTTAAGGACAGGGAACAACCGCACTTTACATGGAAAGCTAAGCAAGAAGTTTCATATGCTTTCGCCAGGTTCAGCAAACACTAGATTGTAAAAGAATGGCAATACGACCAGGCTCTACTTGCACAAGACAAGAGTTTCTTACTTTCTCAATTTAAAAGCTTGGAGCCAGAGTCGGGCCATTTGAGGCTCAGTGATCAACAGTACAAGGGTTTGACTCAATTAATCAGACGTAAAGATCAGTTGCTGCTAGCGTATACCGTTGGTGACGATCCCGGCAGTATTGAACCACCTAATTCAACACTTCATGGGCCACAACGAACGCGAAATACCACAGGCAAGCACAAGTCGTCTGACCTAGAAATACTTTCATGCAGGGCATACATAGAACGCCGCAGAAGAGAGACGGACTCGAATACCGATCCCGGCTCCGCATTGGATCAACTTTCCGAGGTCACCTACTCGAAAGCGGTTTAGTCTACGGGGACTATGAACCAGGTTTCATAGCCTGTGTAAGAGGCCTATTACGCAGAAGTAGCCCGTCGGGGGTTCCGGATTTACGGAAGTTGCGCGAATGTCCGAAAGTCCGCAGCAACTGGTCATATCGCTCTGACCTCGGCAAGCCCACAACGAGTTTTAGATCATCGCAATTGAAGTCTCAGACTGACTAGTCAGCTTATATTTCTAGCCCATGCAATACCTTTCGGTGAAGTAATAACCGGATTGTGGGTTTATGATGTCTATTTTCTCAGAACTTAGTCTGAGCTTTCGGAAGCTCGGTAATTTTCAAGAAACTCTTTGGTCTCGGAGTTTCCTAGTGGGCCCAACCAAATGGCAGTTCTTTAGCTAATACTGAAAAACAAAGTCGAATACTGACAACTTATAGCAGCCACAACTGACCAGAGAAGCCAGTCCACGAATTCGTAGTCGTCTGAGAAACAGGATGGCACACCAATTAGGGCCGGATAGTGACCGTCAGCTGATTCTTGTTCCCGAGGAAGGCCGCAAGGGGTGGTTGTGTGTGACTGGTGCCTTCTTCTGCCTCTTCAGTACTTTTGGTTTCCTCAACGCGTAAGTACGCGCATGACCATTGTTCTCTCCCTCTTTTGTTTCTAACCATATACAGGATTGGTGTTTTCCAAACTACCTACGAAGAAACATTACTCAGCGCTTACACATCGTCAGAGATTGCATGGATCTTTTCCGTCCAGCTTTCGCTGATGTGGGCGCCTGGTTCCCTGTTCGGCCACCTGGTCGACACATACGGACCAGCGCCAGTCTTGCTTCCATGCAGCGTACTGTGCGTCTTTTCACTGTGTATGACGAGCCTGAGCACAAGTTACTACCAGATATTCTTGGCTCAAGGGCTGGGGTTTGGGCTTGGGGCGGGCGGGATCTTCACTACCTCCTTAGTTTGCGTTGGACATTGGTTTGTAAGACGCCGGGGTCTTGCTACCGGCATCGCTATTTCGGGAAGTAGTCTTGGTAATAATTTTTCCTGGGCCTATGAAGGGCTTCTCTTGACTATGACTGACAATCTTATACAAATTAGGAGGGGTTATTTTCCCAATCTTCTTCAACATAGTCAAAAAGGATGTTGGATTTATTAATACCATCCGCTACACTGCCCTGTTTATTGGGATCTTGCTAGCGACCTCTTGTTTCCTCGTAACCAGCCGACTGCCACGGAAGAAGTGGGATTCTGGCTCGTCATGGTTTGACGTTAGTGTTTTCAAAGATAAAACATTTTCGTTATACACCCTTGGTGCTTTTTTTGTAATGTTGGTTTCCCTTCAGCTAAGTGGAAGCCACAATTGGAGGCTGACGATTTCCAAGGTGGGGCCTCTGGGCGCCGTTCGATTATCTACCTCAGATGGCTAGGGATAGGGGATTTTCTTCCTCATTATCGCTATACCTGATATCCATCATGAAGTCTGTGGCCTTCTCTCTAATCTTCCGAGCATACAGCATACGAAAATCCTATGCTAACAGGTAACCAGTGCCACATCCATGGTCGGACGTATTCTCCCAGGGTATCTTGGGGATCGAATTGGACACATGAACGTCATAGTCTGTGCAGCGTTCCTCACTGGAGTGACGATTCTATGTCTTTGGTTGCCATTCGATTTTTATAGATCTCATCCAGGGATCATTATGTTTGCTTCCATATATGGCTTCGTGAGTGGAGCATATATATCCCTTCTGATTCCGTGTGCTGCGAAGGCCGGGAAGCTGGAGCAACTGGGGCAACGGATTGGGAGCTTTCAAACAGTCCAGGGACTGTCGTAGGTCCCCCCTAAGATAATCGCCGTGTATAAGTTGCTGACATTTGGGCCAATAGCAATCTTACCGGACTACCCATCCTTGGTGCTATTTTAACCCGACAAAATGGAAACTTTCTGGGTTTAGAATTATTCGCCACTTGTTCGGTTTTTATCGGGACTTGCCTAACTCTTTTCGCCATATTCTTTAGTGTTCGGAATGGCAAAGACTAGCTTAGCCGTTTTTGTGCCGAATCAGAGGCTGGAAATACTTCTCTATTATTCAGTTTATCCGTTTCAGACCTTTTTACGTAGTAAGGTTGAATATGCAAACATGAATGCAGTGGCTAAAGTGAAATCTAGCACTATAGCCGAGGGAAGAGGAAAAAGTCGTGCTAAACTTTGTACCCCTATTACTTGGCATCTGATCTTGTTCACCTCATCTTTTCCTGGTATATGTGTACAATACCTGAATAACCGGTCAAGACACTCTACTGAATGCGTTTTTGGTAAAAGCTTGAAAATCGAAGCTATTCAAACAAAATACATAGAACACAATCCACGAGGTCACGTTCGTCTGGCGAGTGATTTACCCCCCGACTCCATATCCCGGACAGAATTGAGGTCTCAGCACCTCGACTTTGCCAATTGTCAGAGTAAAACATCGGGGCAGACCGAGGTAATTGAAAGGCAGCCTTGTTAAACCTTTAGACACTTTCTTAGGAGCAAATCACTTGCAAGCTGCCGGTCCACTGACACGAAATGGGCCACTGATCAGTTAGATTCCATCATCCAAATGAACCTTTAAGTTGGCTATATTGCTGTTCATTCCGGGCCACGCTAACTTCAAGGTATTCTAATCCTCCGGCAGGCCCTCGCTCTTAACGAGTTTCCTCAGGCATAGCAAATGATTATGTTGACGCAAGATGTCCCAATCAGTCTGGTGAACCCACAAAATATGAGAGTACCTTTCCTCCAAGTTTGAGACCATGAATGGCATCGGTGGCATACTCTTTGAGGCGTTTCGTATTAGCCTCTCGTGCGCCCTACGAAATTAATGGACTCGCTTGAGCCAGTCCATTCATCCCTGCTGTCAGGCCGGTCGGTGATTGCTTCGTAAACCCTGTCTCCACGAACATCCTGCCACCCTGCCCAACCGCGCCGGGGCATCCATTTCAACAGACCTCTGAGAGTTGAACAAGGTTGTACCCGGCCTTACTTATTCCCGCCGAAGCTGTTTGCAATAAGTGCACCATGACAAGGTCCCTCATGGTCCGTCTCACAACGTCGTTGTCCGGCTCCTCCGCGGCGCGAAGGTGTCATGCCCCCTCGAATATACTGCAAAATACGGCAAGGGCGACGGACATATGTCTTGGCTGACTCAGGTTAACGTCACCTTAGCCTAGAAGGGCGTAAAGTTCAGGCAGTAAGCGCCCGGCCATGATGCACAATTTCGATCCAGAAGTCGTTCATATCGTTAAGCAGGAAGGGTAGGTTATTCCACAGCGCGCCTTCAACTGTTCGTGCAATGTCGACCCCGTAGGCCCCTGGGGCAAATCTTGGCGGGCCCTTTCCTTGGATGCAGAGGATGCTGAGGACCAGACGATCGTGGTCAAACTATTCATCCCCTGTGTACCGGCCGAGCTGGTAGTACACATTCCACATGCACTGAAGATATCTGCCCCCCAAGGCTCCTCAGGTTCACCCCTAGCGGCGGGTTCCTGTACATCCTCTCGATTTCTGGAGGCGTTGTCTAACGCCGGCCTTTAGGCGAGGGACTGAGCAGGTTTTCACGGAGATGGCACATTTTCATATGATTGTTGTAATGATCAATGGTCCAGACGGGTGCAGTAACGAGGAAGAAAGTTAAGATAGACAAGGATCCTACGCAAAAGATTCGGCCCAAGATGATATTCATCCACGAGAGTTGTTTCTTCGTCTCATTAGACCTTTCTAAGTAGCAGAATAGTACTTAAGACCATGAGCCTCTTTGATAAGCTTTCTTTGGTTTGGAGGATAGCGTTACTGGGAATGTCTAACCCCCATTCCTCCATTTCAATAACTTTGCTATGGGATTGCTAACTAGTTCGTACGCAGTCGTCCGCTGTATGACCTATTATGCGCCAAAATGTGTATTGCATGGCAAAGTTTCTGCGCTAAAATGGCGTCAGAAGCTTTCGCTTGCCTACCTTCTGGCATCTTGAGAGACTTTCAACGTGCCATCCGATCACGCATGCCTCCGACAAGGCAGGCCGCAGGATCTAGCAATACTGTCACCGAAGGAATGTGGACAATAGTGTTCAGGGGGCGCTACCATTGACAAAAAATTGAAACCTCACCTCCGATGTGGCATGTTATCACGCCTCTCGTGGCGCAATAAGCTGGACCTACAATATTTCACTCACATGACGATTGATACCACTTGCCGATACGAGCAGATGGGCACATCCCGTTTGTGATGCGCTGTGCGCTGGCAAGTAAAGCGTAGTATTCACTCGGCCCCTGGTCCAAGCTGTGGCCGGTCTCAAGTTTCACTTCGATGAGAATGGCATCCAAGTCAAACCATCATCCTCGACGGCTACAGCGCTGGTGGACTGTTAACAGCGAGCCTGTTGGCTCACATTGTTTGCCCTTAGCCTTGACGCTGCCCATACTATCTTTGCGCTAGTCAGTTCAATGCGGCCTTTTTAGTCTCGACCTGGTTGACGATGCTAGCGGACTCAAGCGCACCTAACGCTGGACGATAATCATTAAGCTTACGAAGCTGCTTAGTCCATTGTTAAGCGAAGTATGGAGTAGCCCATACTTGGCAGAGGACGCGGTAGCCGTGTGGAAGAGACTCTTTCCTGGCGGATACGAGCATGCCCTCGGTCACAAGGTGACCACAGGCGAGGGGACACCAAAGACCCTTCTGTATTCCTGCGTGAAGTTTGGGCGGGATTGTGCTGGACGTGAGAGTATACTTGTCGACGTCGAATCGGACCTGGTTTTGGTAAAGGAACGGCCCTGTTCTTGCAGAAGTCCTTGGTGAGACGCACGCGCAGCCTGCGTGGATTTCATCTTAAGGTACCACAACAGACGTATGGTGAAGGCAGTCCTGGCCTTCCTAGAAACTTGTTAGGCAATAGGTACATATGAGGAAGAAATGGTTGGGTCCACTGTGCATCATTAAAGCATTTAGGACTATGCTGCTTGTGGTGGTATATGTTACGCTGTGGTACGAAAAGATGAAGATCAGACACGTAGTCAGTTTTGCGAAACAACGAAGCGTGGGAAGAAAGGTGGAGAGATCATGAGGGGAGATCTAAATACAGGTGGAATGTCTACAGTAGTAGGGTTCAACAACAAGCACTACACACCACACATGCCAATTTTCACAGTATAGAGATTAGTATCGTTGGACTGGTAACTTCAGATCTGCGTAAGAAGGGTCCTCTTGAGTTAGCCGCCCTTTTCGATTAGGAGATATATCAGAGAGCAGAAGTACGTCACAAAATGAAAATTATGGATCCAAGGCCTTATCCATCTGTGAGTTAATATTTACTCTGCAACCGAGTATCTAACTTAACTCGCAAGCCAGCGGGAACATATCATAAAAAGGATCCACTACGCACACATGGCTACCTTTCTGTCCAAGCCGAAGGTAGATAAAAAAGCGTGAACTGGAATGCGGCAAACCAAACCGGACCAAAAATTCGTTTGTACCGGTCGTAGTGGTTAGCTCTAATATACGAAAAGGGACCCGTAAACATGTGAGCAGCGAGTGTATCTAAATGTGGGTAGAAGCTGGCCTGACGATATTGGTGGGCCATGTGCCTTAATACATAATAATTTGTAGTGATAGTCACTAATGCTCTCTATTTAGGTCAGAGTGGTGTGGGTTACTCGTAAGTATGAATTTAGATGACCGTGAAACGATTAGTTGTAATTGGAAGTAGTAGTAGGCGGTACTCGTGAAGATATACGCTAATAATCACAAGGTGTCGGAATGCAGCAGGCAGAGCTAAATACACTATATGTCCACCAAGAATGGTCCTATATTTCGGCCCATCTGAATCACCAGCTAGGGCTTCGGGACCTATTATCCAGCTCATTGCGCACGCTTATATAGTAATAGCATCGTGATAAGATTCTGTTAGGATCTACAGTAGAACTAGGTAAGTATAACTCTGGAACGTTCTTAATTACCTAAATTAGGACTATTTCGTAAAATAGAGAAAATAGAACTACTTAATTAATATCTACAGCTACTAGACAGTATATAATATATCTATATAATATTTTACATCACATTATTAAAAAAAGTGCTTGTCGGATTTACGCGGTCGGCATAAATCCTTGGGTGTACATGAAGCGTTCGTGCACGGTCGAGTCAATCGATCTTATTATAGACCGATAAAGTCGTGCTATCTAACCGTATATCCACGATTATGGAAGAGTAACTAAGAAACAAGAGAGTAGGGTCGGCAATATTAGACAGAAAACGGTCAGGTAGGCCTCGACCTCTACTTATGAATGAAAATCGGTGTTAAACTTCAACCATGTTCGTTAAACTGATCTGGGGGGTATTTATATCTCTAGGCATGTGACAGGAGGATTATAGAAAAACTTTATACTCCGTAAAATCCGAAATAATCATGGGGGCATGATTCCCAACATTCTCCGCTAGGGGTGGTCCTGTTGATCTCTGCGGAGTTCTGAGTCAAGAGGGGGCCGGTGACTTCCAGGTTGCTCCGGGCAGGCCTGGCTTTTCCTATCTGGATTGTCGTCGATTTAGTGAGGGTACTCAGCCTCAGGCTCAATGAGTGAACGTTGTGGCTATGCAATGGTTTCCGTGGCCTGCCGGAAGCGGATGAGGCCAAGACTTTGAAACTCCGAAACACCGAGAAATAAAGTTCTTCAGGGACCCACCTTTTTCTCTTGCACTGTAATACCGATTTGGCCCGTCTGCGCTTGTTCTTAAGTCCCTATGATTTCCAACAAAGCTACATTATACAACCGAATTGCAATTCCCCTTCTCCAATCCAACTCAACACCAACTGTCAATACCAACAGTATCCGTGGCAATGGCGGGCATCGAGAAAGTAAGTGGACAATTTTGAACAACGCCTTAACTGTCAGTGACTGATATTTCGATGATCGCCAGGTAATTATCATCGGCGGCGGTCCCGCTGGCATTGCGGCAGCGTTGGTTCTACAAGAGAGGAATAATATCTCATGCCCAGTCTACGAGGTTCGCAGCGAGCCCACCACGCTGGGAGGTGCCGTAGGCATCCCGTCTAACGGCCTACGACTTCTCGAACGCATGGGACTCAGTGATGCGATGATGGCAAAAGGGTCAGAGACGTCGATGCTCAACCTGCATTCTCTCAATGGCAACGAAGTGGGCCGGATGGACATGGCGTCCTGGAGCAGGCAGCAAACTGGATTCGGCTACCTGAGGATTCGGAGGACTGACCTAATGGAAGTGTTGTTGAACACCGCCAGCGAAAGGGACATACCTATCCATTTCAACAAACGCCTCACTAAAATTGAAGAAAACAACGATAAAGTCACCGTCTTCTTCTCGGATGGCACTAGCGACACGGGGGACTTTCTCCTTGGCTGCGATGGTATTCACTCTACCGTACGCAAGCTATACGTGGACCCGGACTGCACACCGCAGTACACGGGCATTTCGAATGTCTTCTCTTTGATTTCCACGTCTCAACTCCCGCCTGCTGCTTCTTCGATGGACGCCCTCCACGCGACATTGACCTCAGATGGGATGTTTGGGATCAGCCCCGCCACAACCGCTCGTGATATGGTTTACTGGTTCTTCTCGCGTGAAATTGCTATGCCTAAATCCGGGGACACGCGCGATGGATGGGAGGAACGTGGCAAGATGGAGGTCGACAACTTGAAGTCCACCTTCATTACCCTTTTGGGGGAGTCCGATTCCCCATGGGTGAACATGCTGAGAGATGTCGTGCGCAAGACAGACGTGGTGAAATTCTACCCGATTTTCAAGATAATGCCCGGCGGGCCTTGGTCCAAGGGGCGATGCCTTGTCATTGGAGATGCAGCACACGCCATGCCCCCTCACGCTAGTCAAGGTGTATCAATGGCACTGGAAGACGTCTTCTTGTTTTCGAAGCTGCTGAACCACCACTCTCGAAGCCTGGGTGCCCCTAGTTCTCGAAGCCTGGGTGATCTCCTACAATTATACGAGTGTAAACGCAAGGCCAGAACTGAACAGATGCTCCAGACTGCAGAGCGAAACGGCGATGTTCGCAAAAGAAAACGCCAATGCGTCTCTGGGCTAACGAATTGGCTTTGTCGTGGGGACTGCGGATCTATGGGGCGATCGGACTAGATAAAATGGGAATTGGACAGAAACCCCTGGCCTACGATATCGAAGAGGAGCAATTTTGATGACAGCAAAGGTGATTTCACTACATATGCTCGCCAGCAAGGGAATGGACGATACACAACCGATTGGGCTAGGTGTGTACATGATTTAGGACTGTACCATTATTTTAAATGTATTTATATATCTGAACGGGCGCTTTTAAAACAAGGTGACAAAGCTTATGCTTTTAGGAAGTAATGCTACAAGTTGCAATACCCCACTTAATGAAGAGCAAAGAAAACCATCAATCGACGAAAGATAAATGTCCCTAAATGACCAATTCCACAGCCCGCTGTGTGTAAGCTTCAAGTCTTGGGATATGAAGGTGAGAAATTTTATATTTAGTACGGTATTTTGAGATGGCCAGGGACGGTGGAATTACGTTAGTTATTAGTTATTGCAAGGTCTAGTGCTGAGTAACCCGCCCAGATCGCCGCTTGGAAGGCCAATAATTGCCTTCCGGTGTTCTCCGCAGGGTCGCCTGAGGTTGGTCCTATCAGAATTGGAGTACGTAAAAACTCATGTGTTGACTCACTCATAAGATAATTATTCCCGCAACATGAGTTCTTCTTTTTTGCTCGATCTAGCCAGCACCAGTATCAGCCATGTACCTCCGAGCTGTCCATGCAGAGTCCTCCACCAAGGCTCTTTTCGAATTCATCACGGCCAATCCTTTGGGTATCATCACCACCGCCATCCCTTCCACCACCCACCATTTCCTCCAATCCAGCCATGTACCATGGGTGCTTGACGTTTATACCGACGACCCCGAGGCACCTGTCCAGGGCCGTCTACGAGGCCACATGGCCCGGCAAAATCCACAATCTATAGCCATGATGGAAGCATGTACAAACTCCGGCACAACAGAATTGCAACAGGATGTCATGATCCTCTTCACTAGTGCCCATCACCACTACGTTACACCCAAATTCTACACAGAAACCAAGCCTGATACGGGCAAGGTAGTACCAACCTGGAATTATGCTGCCGCGCAAGTCTACGGCAAGGCTACTATTTACTTTGACTCGTCGGTTGCGGAGACATCGGAGTATCTTTCGCAGCAGATCCATGATCTCTCGCGGATGTGCGAGACTTCTGTTATGGGATATACGGGTAAAGATGGAAAGCCGGGGCCGTGGAGTGTGTCTGATGCGCCGGAGCGGTATATTGAGATTATGAAGAAGAATACCATTGGCATTGAAGTTGCTATTGAGAGTATTGGGGGGAAATTCAAAATGAGTCAGGACAAGGGGCAGGGTGATCGGGAAGGAGTTATTCAGGGATTTAGTAACCTTGGTTCGGATGTTGGCACTCATATTGCAGAGCTGGTCAAGGAGCGAGGGGAGATGAAAGAGGCCGAGAAGAATAAGCAATTATAGATACACTACATCGCGAAACCGGCGCAAGATCTCCACTCTCTCAATCTGAAACGAATCAAGCACGAAAAACAAGTGTAGTTGAGCGATAGTACGAACTTGGATGGTTAATTTTGGTACCGTACAGAGGAAGATATGGCATCAATTAAGGATTTAACAATGGCAATCGAGACGCTTGAAGTCCATGGGCAAAAACAGAAGATGCTGCTGGAGATGAGGTTTAACTTCGAAGAGGAAAAGCTTCATGTACATATTATATGATTAGTGTATTATCAACTATGTGACAGCTACGGAGTACTTGGAGATAGGCCAATCAATGCAACGGAATCAAAAGGGGAGAAATTGAGTATATGATTGATTGATTGAAGAACATAAAATGAGGGCGCTCATGGGGGTTGAAATACCCATGAACTTACAGTGTAACGGAGGTCCACGCATGTTGAATATCCTGGTGCCTAATGACAACATAAATGACTGAGATTCGCCATATAAAAGTGTTGCACCATCTAGAAAACAATTGACGTGATGTTCATCCTTGTTTTGGTACGAGTAGCAACCCATTGGGGTTGACATGTATCATCCCCTCAAGCTCACACATCCATTGCGTGCAAGGGAAAACCTCTGCCCGGGAAGGTGTGCAGCCCGCGGGAGTCGATTGTATTCTCCCAGAGTTCCAAAGTTCACATAGTCTCGAGTATATGTATCACAGATCCAAAACATGCAATTGTACAGATAGTCTATACTTTGTTTATATAAATTCAATTTCATCTAAATGTCTGCAGTCTCAAACCTGCTCACTCTTCTCAATTTATGCCCACTCACAAAGAACAGCCAAGGAACCGGTAACAGAGCGACAGCAATGAAACCAAGGAGGCTCGAAGCCCACCCAATGCCGAGCTTGGTGTACACTATAATAAAGTAAATTAGTTTAGAACCCAAAGTAGTCATTAAGAATACCCACTTTGGATTGTAAAGAGAGGGAACGCAGCTGCAAGTCCATAACGCGCCAGACTATTTGCACTCATGGCACTGGCAACAGTTAATCCATGGTAAGTGTCAACAATATACTGCGTGGTGCTGACGAAGACACATAGGTTCCCCCATGCAAATATCATAATTGCCACAACTGGATTAGTCCAAGATATATTTGCGCGTGCTGTCCACCCCAACCAGAATAGTCCAGTCGGAAGACCGATACTCCCGATCATGGCAGGGAAGAGGCGATACTCTGGTGGAATATGGCCACCAGGAAATCCGGCAACCCGAGGTCGATAGAGAAGTACGTCGCAAATAAGTACCGTAAGGGCTCCAAGAAGACATCCGACTACTATGGAGAGAAACACAAGACCGGAGTCTTCAATCCCAAAACCATATACTCCCTGGAAAACGAGGGGAACGGCAGCAAAAAAGGAAAAGAGTGTCGCGAATTGACAAGCCACATAGAGACATATAAAAGCAACGATTGGGTCGCTTAGCAACATTTGGATTGGACGGAAGAGGGCAATTGTCATAAAGAATCGAAGCTTGAAAGCCAGGGGCGGCGATTCAGATAATGCCCGACCGAATTGACTGGCGACTCGACGCTTAATGGCCGGATGGAATGTCTCCTTAGCGAAAAGAGATATAATGATCGTTAAAATGCCGAAGAAAATCATCGTCCACTGCGTCCACCGCCAGCCTTTGCGGTTTACAATAAAGCTGCCAATGACCGGTCTTGAGATAATATCAGCAAAAGATGATTGGGAGAAAGTAAAGTCGTCCAACTCACCCGAGGCCAGGTCCGAGAAAAGGAGTCAGAATAAAAATCGTGGAAGGAAGGGCACGCTTGACGGGTTTGAAAGTTTCGTTGATGGTGCCGCCAGCAATAGCCAGAGATGGGGCAAAGCAGAACCCTGCCAAAAAACGCAGAACACAAACACCTACAAAAGTATGACTGAATCCAACTCCCAGAGTAAATAGGCACCCAAGCAGCACTGTACCCAGGTATACAGGGTACCTCCCCACCGTCTCAGATAAAGGTCCGCCGACAACGGGGCCAAGTCCCAGTGCAAACACGTAAAGCGAGAGGGGTAGTATAGCGACTGTGCTACCCACTCCAAACTCTTCCATAAATTGAATGTGAGCTGGAGATAGGATTGACACACCCACAGAGCTATGGGCCGAGTTAGCTAACTTGACGTATGTCAGAAAATCGTTCCAGGCTCTCTTACGTTGTGAAAGCGGCAGATGCCATCATCAAAACTTGTAGGACTTTTGACTGCGTGGACCAGTTGTACGGATTCTGAGAACTATACTCCCAGTCTTCGTTTGAAACTGGTGATTGTACTTTTTCGTCATCTCCAGTCCCGACACCAGGGGCCGTGGTGGACGGTGACGCATCATCCGCCTCATTCTGCTGATTTTTCGGTTGCGAGGTTTCGACTGTCGCCATTATACGGAGACGTGAGTATCAGATAGAAGCAGCTGCCTAGTGACGGTTACACGAGTTTCGAATTGAGTAATGAGCAAATCTTTCAGTCAACAGGTATTGATAGAGTGGTTTTAGTATTCCGTTTCTCGCGGTGTCGCAATTTGCACCCTGCCGAGCTGATAAATCGTAGGAAACGCATTCAACGGTGTTGAGTGGTCATTTTGTCCCCTTTCCAAACTCCTCTACTAGGCAAATGGCTGGCACGAGGTACCGATTCTTTCCCGAGACATTTTACGATTACTCAACAAAATCCATTTCTTAGCAAGGGATACGCCAGGACCGCGGTCGGTGATCCAGGCAATAAATGATTATTCAACAAGCATTTAATGTTTGTTTAATCGTGCTAAGAACTCGAATGAAGATTGTTAAGCTGATCGAGCCTCGGGATTTAAGAAATTTAATTTTAGGCCACGGCTCGATGCCCCCGGAGTGGTGATAATAATAATTCACTACAAGAAAGAGGAGGCAATTGTTATATATGTTTCTCATTCTGCTCACATCCCGATAATCTTAGATGACAACTCATTTCGCCCGCATCGGAAGAACGTTGCTGAACAGCCATGCGCCACCTACTTCTAGCCACAGTCACACTCGTTTCCCCATGGTGGCTAATGGATGCCACTTTTTATGATGCAGTCAGCGCGACATAATTGGATTGGATGAAGCATTTGACAATTAACTATGACGTGAGCAGCACTGCAAAATAAATAAATAAATAAATAAATAAAATAACCAAATGCCACGTTTGCTCTCTCACAGCTTCAGCCACCTATCATGCCACGAATTCGCACTGAATCCTCGCAGAAATCAGCTAATCAGGAGGAAAAAATGTGTTATTAGCTCTTGATGATATTAAAAACGGCAGCATAAAATCTATTCGCGCAGCAGCAAAGCTTTACGAAATCCCTTTATCAACTCTACCTACGCGTGTTCACGGCCAGATTCCGCGTGCTGAGAAACGCCCGATCGGACTTTAACTGACCCAATTAGAGGATTCGTTTACTACATGGATTCTCTCTACGGATTCGCGTGGAGCGGCCCGCTACTGTTCGAGAGATGGCTAATATCCTCCTGGCCGCGCCTGGCAGCAACCCTCCGCCTACTGTTGGCAAGAATTGGCCATCAACCTTCGTTTCACGGCGTGATGACCCTACCACCGATGACGTGGGCAGAATACAGGGTCGGTTGTCAAGCACAGGCCCTTATGCTGACTAGCTGCCTTCCCTCGATTCTGCCACCGCTTTCAAAAACCTGCTGATGACTCGAGGGGACAGAACAGTCTTGAGAAGTCTTGACACTGCCGCCATAGATGGAGGGTGATGTCTCGTACCGAAGCTGTCCATCTCGGTTGATGTAGATGAGGGCGAAATGTTGAAAACATTTTCTGTCATGTGAAGGTTGTCGCAACAGGCCCTTTTATGTTTCATCTAGTGAAACTCCCTCCGGGGGTGGTGAGTGGCGGTAGAGCGCCAAAAGCAGCCGTTTCTGGCCTCTTTCTCACCGTGTCATGCATATTAGTGGTACAGCAAGATTAGTATACCTTATTGATGGAGATCCGATAGATATCTCCCTCGAGGGAATCCCCGGCCGGGATTCCCTCCGTATGTACGTTTAGGAATTAGTAAATGCTTGCGGGGTTTAAACAGTTAATAATAGAAGATTTGCATGATTAGCAAGCTTCTAAAAATATGCTTCAAAGTCCCTTGTCTCTTCCCTACTGGCTGATGAACTTGCAATTTCAAGCTGCAAGTAAGTGGGTGCGCTATACACTGTGATAATGTAGTTCTATATGTTTAGAGAGCGACGTCCCTGGGTGCAACGTTAAATTATCTCAGAAAAGGATGCCAACGCCCCTGGCAAACTTTATACGGTACAGTGAATAGTCAAACACTTGATACTATTCAATGAGGTTTAGATCGAATTAATCCCCAAATAGCCAGGAAATCACGACTTTTGAGAAGGGTTTCGTTTTCACAAGAGAACTTAACACCTATTCTGATCCTTGGCCATTTCCAGTCGATCTTTCAATGTCTCGTGCATATGCCGTATAGAGGGACTAAGCTCACTTGGCCCATGGAGAGCATCCACCGAGCCCTCAAGGGATTCCCAAAGCGGTGGTTCTGTGAGCAGCCGAAGGCACCGGACTTCGATAGCTCTCACTGCAGCAAGGGAGATTGTATACATACTGGTGCCAATTGTTAAGCATACATTTTAAAATATAAAAGAAGACCTGCAAGCACATACCTCGCATACAGAAACCAGGCCTTCGGAAGACATACTCCAAGGGCGATTTTAGCTGCATCAAGAAAGCCGGTCACCGATTGAAAAAACAGGGACCCGTACGGTAGGGACTCGGTATTTGCGATTCCATCGAGTATGATGCGGTAGATGACCGGCCAGTAGATTGAGATCTCGTACATATGGTACTTAGCACGACAGATGGGACCATTGACGTTCTGAGAGCCGAGGCCATTATCTGGAGACAATGTCTCGGATGAGGAGCCCGGTGCGTGACTTGAAGTTGCCGCCCTCTCATGGGGGGTGTCATTGTCATATGTACTCCATACATCCGTTGCTGAGGTAGAACAGCCAGCCAGCTCTTGTTGTAAATTGATCTCGGTACAAAAGTCGACTAACGTCGGCAGCCTCTCATTTGGTGAATAGACTGAATTGACTTCGCTATTTTGAGGGACTCCGGACAAAGATGAGCCCGACGGTGTATTCGAACTACCGAAAAGGTCCCACATGTATGTTCTTGTTGGCATCATTGGAATATTTGTCAATCTGCCGCGTAGCCCTTTGCCGAAGCATGGTAGATTAAAATGCATGGATATCTCACTGGGTGCTTGTTAGTTCAGAAAGTATGAAGAAGTTTGCAGTGCAGACCTCATGATTAATTGAATTGTCCAGTACAAGCGCGTGACAAGGTGTGACTCAGGCGAACCATCCAAGAAAAACAAGCGACTTATTTCATCAACACAACCTAAATTAGCAATGGCAAAACTGGCAGTCGATTTTTTGATGCAGATAATGGCGCACCTTTTGAGAAACGGCTGGATTTTCAGAAAGGCAGCTTGTATGTAGTCATATGCTTGTCTTGGCTGGAGGAGACAAGAGAAGTATATACTAAAAAGGACCAAACATTGAACACTCGTAATGCTGTATTCTTGGATCGCTATTGGCATCATGGACAAGGCAGCTTCATACTGTGCGGAGTGAGGTCGATGATCGACTAGACTTGCAATTGCTCCAACGAGGAGCGACAGGCACGAAGTTGTAGAGCACGGAAAGCCGGCAGCATTGGACTCGATAAATTGGGACGTGAAATCGGAATGCAGGATTGGATACCATTGATGAACTTGGTTATGAAACCAGTGGAAGATACTGGCGGTGGAGTCAGTTGAGTGGCTATTGGTTTCTTAAGTCTTCATTATTGAGAACTCACAGGTCAGTAGATTCGACACACATTGATTCAGTCGCAGATGCGAGCGTCCGAGGAACAGCAGTTTCCAAGCGATACAAACCAGATGCTAGATCCGATGGTAAGCCGAAAACTTGCATGAGATGAGGAGACTTGAGGACGAGAGGTGGGCAATTCCATGGAGGGGTATTGCCATATTGTGCTGACGACTGCAGCCGAGGTTCCAGTAGTGTGGTAATAGACTCCAGTCTTTCTCGAATTCTCATGAGTTCCTGTACCAATCTACGCAATAATTTAAGGAATAGTACATGTCATTTTGGGGGAATGGTCAACTTACTGTGGAGGCTTAGAGTCAGGAGCGTGTCCATAGACACACTCTATACCTTGGGACACGCAAAATGAGCACTTAGGCCTGGTTCGGTCGCATCTCCTCCTGCGGAGGCGACACTGGTCGCAGACCGATGCCGTTATGTATGGGAGCATGGTCGTAAGGACGCTCATGAATATCGTAGATTGTCCTGGGCTGATATGGCGGCCTTCTTTTATGACCGCCAATTATGAAACTCCCTTTTCCAGCTATTGTTCAAGGAGCTTGTGGTATCAATACCGGTACTGAGGTTCTTGTCGTAGCAAGTACTTCGTCAGGGGACTGTGACTGAGGGGCGGGGACTGAGGGCGGGCGGGTTATGGGGATACTGGCCCATAGTTAGCCGCAATATCTAGCTGCAATGTGATTGGATTGTGTTTGGCGTCCTTGAAAGGCTCCAATCAGAGGGGCCGATGTTAGCCATCGCGGAGCGGCTCCTCCTCTCCGCGGGACGCTTTGTTCAGCCCAATCGCTAATTCTCAATCCCCGCAGTTTGAGTTCTAGAACTTAGTCGTAATTGTTCATTACCTTAGGCGATTCCCCAGATTCCTCACACTCGGGATTGCGGGGAGAGTGTTCTCCTCTTCCCTTCTCGCTTGTGGCGAGAAGGGAAAAGCTACATATTTTCTTCTCCAAACCCGGAACACCGCACAATTTGTTGCTTTGTTGCTTTGTTACTTTGTCTCACCGGGCATCAATACTGTTCCTCCAATGTAATTGCGACTATGACAGGCTCGAATAGTATCGGCTCATTCACACTCTCGATGAAGGAATCTAATCATGCGCGAAGAACAGTGCATCGGCCAGTTGATGATCCTGCTGCTCTAATCCTGGAAGCCTGGTCGCAGGGCCTTATGACGGGTTCTCTCCTCATCATGGCTGCGGTTACTTATGCGAACATGCGTCCAGGTGTGTTGCTGCATAAGTTGATTTTATTAGAGGTAAGCTTGCTGCCATTGATGTGGTATATACGCACTGACGTCGCCACTTCCTGATAGTTGATTCTGGCCCTAGCCCACGGAACATTCATATTCGCCCCGGACCCGGTGTACGGCTGGTATCTGGCTGCATCCGCGATTGGATTGATAATATCATGGTCTTTGCACAATGTGATCGCATGGATGAAGAACAGGCCGTTCATGGGCCGCAAAATTTCGCTCTTGTATGTCGGCACGATCATCCTGGCTCAGCCGTACTGGGCAACTGAGATTTACGCCAACTTCGCCTACTTCAATAACGTAAATCAGACCGTTTACGAGAAGATTCGACCATGGGAAGCACTATTCCGGTAGGAATTGTCGTAGAGGGTCGTCTTTCTCATCACTGGCTACCTCGACTAACCAACTCTTGACTTAGCGATCCGTGGTGGATTTATACGACGTGCAACCTTTTTTGGGTAGTCAAGAAACACTACAACTTTGGCATCCTCGAGTTAGTACGCGAATGTCCTCGATTTGGTCTCATGCTGGTCTCAATGTGTCTCTCTATTGCGTTCATTCCTCTCGATGTTATCAGCGTGACCGGGGCGCTCAGATCCGCTATGCCGCTGGGCATCAACCCTTTTGGAAAGTGCGCTTCCCTTCAGTTTCCACCGGAAGCGTTTTAATTTCTCTTATATCCAGTGCTGATGGTTTTGTATACTTCAGCTTTGTTTTATGTTCAAGTGCCTGTGCGATACCGTGATTCTGGACGATTTCAAGACTGCGCTTGACAAGCTTAGCGCTAGATGGCTTGCGAGGCAAGGAATTCACGAATTCCATACAATAGGTGGGCATCTTTTCGATATCCTTTCCATACCAACCATGCGACTGAGTCCTGACGTATCGAGTATTCCTAGATTTCAGAAGCCACCCGACCTTTACTGATGAGCGTGCTACGCCACGCATGGGAGACATTAGCTCATTGAAGCGTCCAGCGAGCGCTGTACATATTGAGTGACAGATAAGGAAAATTGTGACTAACCTCTGCCTTGGAAATATAAGACGAAGAATACACCATTTAGTATAACAGAGAAACATTTCTATCAAGCGGAAGTGGGAGAGGGAAACATTATGTATGCGGGTGCCAAGAAAAAACCGCCAAGAAAAATGTACGCCCTGGGCATAATGTAAAAATCTGCCACATTCCATGAACAATGCGTATCCTCCCCTGTTTGAGTAATCAAGGGTCCATGCTGTAGGCACTTGGACTTCGCCACCTAAAGAATCTTCGCTTATCTTGCATGGAGCTGTGCTGATGAACCGAGACTGGATGATCTGTGTCTCGAAAAGGGCTGGACGACTTCGGACTCCACTCCTCCGAGTAGTACAGGGATCCCTTCCTGGTTGTTATCTAGATTCTCACCGGCTCAGCCCCAGCCAGTCCCATTCTGGTATAAGGAGAGGAAAGTTAAATACCCTTCGCACCGTTTCTCAGTCTGTGTTGCCCGAAACTAGTCCTAGTGTGCGATTTTAGTGGCTGGCGGCATTGCTCCACGCAGAATGGAGTCAAGTTTACTCGTGCCCGAAGCCGTCGGGTGGAGGTTCTGATTCCTGATTCGACAGCTATCCTTTTCCTTCGTTGTCTTTCCCCGCACTACGTAAGAAAGGGTTATTCTTCGTTTGTTCTAGAAACATGGTGCCATCGGGCTAGATAGTCTGGAACGCTTGTGCAAAGCGTTGGGCCTCGAGGGTACATCACTGGTGTACCATACCTTGTAAAAGAAGAGGCTAGTCTATCTATTGCTGTTTCAAATTTGAACCCGGTAAAACCACCTGTCCACAATTGCTAAACATATGTTTTTATCATGGAATGTAGACAGCCGTGAAGCATCTGGCCCAAAAACCCGCGAACAGAAAATGGATATTGACAACTTCCCGGGTCACGGCAGACGGAGGCGCCGGAGCGCTCTCGCATGCAACACATGTCGGGAAAGACGGACAAAATGCGACGGCAGGCGCCCTAAATGTTCCTTTTGCATTGAACGTGGCAAAGACTGCTTCTACCCGGAGACGCAAGTCCTACCCCCTTCATCGTGAGTGACGTTCCCATCAACAGAAAGAAGTGAGCTGATGTCTAATATCATCTTAGGTTGAAGGTGGAACTTTCCAGGTTATGGGAACAAGTAGATCATATTACCGCCAAAGTCCAGGGCCAAAGGCCACGGAGCTCTTCCTCCCAAGATGGGCGACAAGAATCTTTCACTCTTACCGCCCCCAGGCCATCTCGAGGTTTTCCATTCATGGTAATGCAGTGTGAAGCATTTATGAATTTGCTTGGTCTTGAGCAATCGATGCCTGCGCTCCTCGAACAGGGAGAGCGCTGCAGAAAAGCCATCCCAGCTCAATCATATGGCGCGAATATTGTGATTGTCGATCTCCAGGAGGCATCAATGTACGTCAATGCGAGTTGCAGATACGTTTCTCTGCCCTTAAGACGCCGCGTTACTAACATCGAATTTACCTCTATGTAGACTTTTGAATGCTTTCTGGGAGCAGGTCCATATCTGGTACCCAATCCTGCATGCAGATGATACCGAGGAATTTATTCAGGCAATAACATCGTGTTTCCCCTTGTCGGTAACATCCTGCCTTACTCTCCTCGTATTGGCTATCGGCTGCGTGGTGGAATGCAATACCGTCATTGATGCCCTACGAAGCCGCCCAGAAGCACTATACATTGAGGCAGCCATGAAAATGCTTCCGTGTGCATTTGCACACTGTGGCCCACGTAGCGCGCAGTGCCTGCTATTGTTCGCCATATACCACCTATGCTACGGACAGCCATTTCAGGCTTACGAATTCGCCGCTATGGCGTCTTTCAAACTACAGAATTATATCATAAAGTGAGCGGAGAGGCCTCGGGACTATCTCAGCTCGGATACAATCGCTGACAATGGGCTCACCAGTGAACTTGACGCCGACAGTGATGCCACTCAAATCTCGATTCTCGCAAATTGCTTCTGGTCAGCGTTACTGATTGAAAGGTTCCATTCCTCGACCGCACTCGTACCAATAAAACGAAATCAAAACTGACGGGCTTGCAGCGAGATTACCGTCCAGCTAGACCTCGTTGATACCGGGTTACGCACGATGACTTCATTTGTGCCGGTCCCAACAGGTTCGGACCACTGGACATGGGGTTCAAGTCAACTTTTCGAGTCATCTACACCCAGCGACAACGATAGCGAGTTCAACCCCGAAAGGAGCGATCTGTCATATTTCGTCGCAGAGATCGCGATGCGAAAAATGCTCCAGCGCTGTACGTGGTCCACCAGTACATTGGCGCAAGGTAGCCATGTCTATGCGCCCATCGTTGCGGCAGAGCTCGAACGCCAGTTGGACGAGTGGCTACAATTACTCCCACAGCAGCTATCTTTCCGTCCCTCCTCTGCCACCAGATCTCGCCCGGGGTGTGATCCAAGCTCAGCCCATGTGGAGTTTCTGCGCACGCAGTACTACGCATTTAAGGCGTCGATCTATTGGCCAGCGGTGTACGAGGCCCTTACTGCGGGAGAGGCAAACAGCGACCTTCTTTACCACTGTGCAAAATTCTTTACTAGTTTCGCTGAGTTTGTTCCCAGTGCTGTCGCTGCAATAGCCGTCTGTAAGCCAAATCTGTGGACACTATGTACAAGGTGAGCTGTGCCGGTGTCCTATATCGCCGTAGCGTCCACTGGTATACAGCTTGCTAACCTTTTCTGGTCTATAGTGTGTTTACTATTTCAATGGCAGCTCTGGCAGGGGTGACTGAACCATGCCTGGTCGTGGTTGTTCCTCGAGAAGCTATTCATGGCCTAGAACTAGCAAGCAAAGCCTTCGATGGAACCGCGGAGATCAGCCCCTCGCTAGCGGACATGGGTGCGATACTGAAGGAAAGCATACAACGCTATCATCATAGTTGGATGTAACAATTGGCAGTTGCCACAGCTCGACCGCATGTCCTTACAATCAGAAATTTCTAGTCACAACGGCAGATATTAGCCATTACAACCAAGCCCAGCCCGTTCACAGATGTCACGGCGGTGTCACACCCCTGCTACCTAATTTGGGCCCCGTCCGGGGTCAGTTACCCATAATGAACCAGAGAGATAATGGGCTAAACCCAACGGATCTCTCTGTCAGAAAGCATGAAATCATTGAGACTTAATCGCAAAGACTACTGCCTATGCTCACTTAAGACACGTAGTGAACCAAGCACCGGCGTTCAGATTTGATGGGTCCTTTGGGATCATCAATAGGCGCATGACAACGGATCTCTTCTTTTCTAGAGTCCCAGCATTTGATTTGAATCACAGTCACGAGAGCACAGTGCCCCCATAACTTCATAACTGATGCAACACAAGGCTGTTGACGTTAAATTAAGACGGATCTAAAGCTAGCCATATGGAAAGTCTTCTTTGCTGGCTTTCCATCTTCTTACCATGGTAGAAGAGTTTGAGAGGGACACATGTCTGCTCCGCTTATTTATTCCTCTCGGTCCGTTCCGGAGCAAACTTTGGCATGGGACCTCGCCTTCTGAGCCGGACCATCCGGTAGGTTTCTAGGATTTGAACTTTGAAGGCTCCAAGAGAAGCCTCTGGGGGCTAGAGTACATGTTCACATGCGGTGGCGAGGGTTCAACGGAGGATGCTGACCGTCACTTTCAGGTCGCCAAGTTTAACCACCATTCCCACTTTACGAGTGCCGAGGGATTTCCAAATATCGACGAGGCGAAAATAGCCCCAGGGAAAGATTATGGGCAATGTTTTAGGCGTAATTTGTGTAGCACCAAGCCAACACCCAATACAATATGCGAGAAATATTCCCTCCTGGCGAGACTTAGGTATACTCCTATTATAGACGCCAGAGTACTTGGCGGGCACACGGAACCACACGGAACCCGAATTCAGTTTGGTCAATCAATTGGAAATATAAAGACAAATAGATAAAACCAAAGGTAGTGGGTATGAAACGAAATCGGATTTGTATTATTTCATGTCCACGGAGGCCTGGGAAATAGAGAATGTAAATCATGACAGCAAAGTAGACTTATACTGGATTGGAAACACAAATTTATAATTACTTGACACAACTCAGCAGCTCACACTAGCGGTAATGAGGGAATCTCATGGCTCGCACTTTAGGCGAAAATGCCGCGCACTTTGACAAAGTGCAAAGTAGCCAATCGGCGGTCACGTTCAAGAAAGCTCGGCAGAGGTCTCGCTGGAAAAATCAAGTCGGGATCACAACTTTTCCTTCTCCACCAAATATCTCCAGCGAGCAAATGCTGAGCAGGGCACGGAGATAACCCCAGAACCATCTGGTTTTAGAGAAGTACTGTGGACTCTGCATGCAGCGGGGCCGTAGGAGATGTCTCCATTTGTCGTTCTCAACGGATAACGACGAGTTTGCCTAGTCATACGGGATTACCGTCTGCTCCTACGCCGCCTTGGGTAATGCCAGCAAGAGTTTAACGGCTGCACCAACGTTAAAGGCAAGATTGGCAAATAAGGCGGCTTTGCGAATCGATGACCGACATTTGCCCGGTATTCATCGTTTAGATCTGTATTGTCGTCGGCTGGGAACAAACGAACACAATCTCGGTGCCATGCTGCGAGACCAAATGTCGCTTAGGGGTTTTCCTTCAGGCAATGGCTCGGGGGGGAAGAAATCACCTCTTTCCAGGTATTGGTTGGTGGGTTAACGTCGTAACTGTTCAAGACAGAGGTAAGTATCCGCCGCCCATCTGTAGCAAAGACCTTTCCCAACTCAAAGCACCGACGTCATCGCAAATGTAAACGAGCCAAAGCGTTAGAAGGATTGCCAGGGTTAGATTTAAATGTTGATCCATCAAAGAAACCCGCCAGGGCTGGGGGCACCGCTACCACCAGCGGAAGATCCGTTTGTGGGGGTTATAATCAACGTCCAGGTGGTCCTGTTGGTGCCCAGGATAGGCAGCTCGAACATACAAAGCCCTTCAGTCTATGTAGCAGTAGAGGGTAGGCCCTCGATCTGGCCAGCAGAGAGGTCATCATTTGAAGATGCCTAGAATGGCTCCCAGCCCTGTCCGCCATGGGACCATGACCCAACTCTTGGATGCTTGGCGGAAAGGACCTTGGGGTAGCGTGTCTCCATTGCCCCCCGTCGTATCATGCGGTTGGCTCCTGGGCAGCCGGATAATGAGATTGCCCTAGTCCTTCCTCCGGGTCACGCCATCGACGCCAAAGGGAAAACGCTTGTCCTGAGTCTCATTGGTAGGAAAATGTCCAGTGTACTAGTCCAGATAGGGTGGGCTGGTAGAAGATCACAAACCAGAGACGTTGTCGGTATCATTGTAGCCGGTTTCCAGTGAACGCCTCGACGCCGCCCTCGCATATTGTTACAAGGGGCTCGTGAGTCCCGCGGACTAGGCTACTATAGGTTGCTTAAGTAGGATTGTCCTGATAGAACTGGTGCCAGGTTGATTTGATCTAAAGCATACTGTTGTTCTCGTTCATCCAGTTCTTCTCATTGATAAAATGAGAGACCGGGTGGAAATTATCCGCCACAACCCGAGTGGGGAAAATAGATGCTAAGGCGAGGAAGATGGTTGCTGCAAGGGCACATGTGCTTGTAAAGCGGTGGGTAGAAGTGTTGACAACCATCCTTAGTTCTGACGACAAAAATCATTATATTCCTTCAATATTTCTTCAAAATTGTCACTTGTGGCCTAGTAATTTGAGATCGCCATTCAAGACCGTCGCTCAAGGCGTCCTTCTTCACCCAGGGTAGGACCATGTCAACTTTTCGTGTTCTTCAGATAGCGTAGCTCTTAAAAGCGTGCAATTACCCCTGCATATCACCCCCACATGTTCGCTGGAAAACCCAAACAAGGAGCACTAGAAGCATCGCGGACCATCTAGCCTGTTCCGCGAGGATCTGGGCCACTAGAATCATCGCGGACCATCTAGCTTGTTCCGCGAGGACCTGGGCCCACATTGATAATTGGGGAAAGCATTATTGCGGGGAAAACGCCATGGCTTGCGGGTTCAGTTACTCCCCCGGTATTCTCGGAACGTATCACAGTAAGACCGGGCAGTTGCGTATTTCGTATTCTAGTATGGTCTTAAGCTGTTATTGTCATGACGTCCCAGCCGAGTCCAACATCTATTGTTCAGCTTAGGGTCAAACTGCCCGCCCAGCTCAAGCACAAACGCTCGGCAACAGAGAGCCAATTAGTTCCAGTGTCAAAATTTGCCGCCCTATGACTTGTTTCACAGCTAACAAAAAATGTATTAGGGTCACAAAGGTAAAAACAACAAGGCTCGGGGAGCGCCAGCCATTCAGCATGCGCTCCTAAGGTCGGGGATGAGGTGTCATGTGGCCTTCAGGACAACACCACTGCATTGATTTCCCGAAAGGCGGCCCGGTGAGCGGTTGAAGGCCTCATACCACCTTAGGGGTTTTTTAAAAAAAAGCCTGAAAGTGGTGCATAATCTCGCGGACATTAGAAGCGACAGCGGTAGCCAAGCGCAACCACTACCCAAGATTAAAATGAGGGGGAATCAGTTTTAGGATACAGCCATGCATGATCAGTAGCACTTCCGCGAGAACCTAATTTCCCAGAATCTCCTTTTGCTTCTCGCTGTTCGTAATTTCACTGATAATTTTCAAACTTAACATCCCTGTACAGATATGCGCAAATAATGAGAGCAGGGCTTTCCGGCTGCGTGCATATTTTGCGTATGGAGAATCCTTCTCCGTGAAGGAAAATAAGAAATAGAAAACTAGGCTCGCCCCTACAGATGGCGTATTTGTCTCCTGGACCCCTGTATTAGGTCATGCCAACGCTAAATTTATTTTAAGGATAGTCGCGAGTGCAATTTACGGGGAAGATGCCGTCCCCCGACATCTCAAAATCTGTGAGCGGTCTATTGTGTAGATTTCATCTCTAAGGTGGGCCCGCGATGATTTTTCTGCTGGCGGATATTAGGCCCACATCCCACGTAAACTCCTTTGATAGGCAGAATCTGGCCAATATCCTCGTGACTGGACTAGAAGCTTCCTCAATTCCCGGTGTCTAACATCACATAGCACGCATGGCGAATACGAAGTATGGCGGGAATTGGAAGTTGCCCATTACGGACTTGCAGCCGCAGAAAGGAAACCAAGTGCAAAGTATAATCGACAATATATCCTTTCTGGTAGAATTACCGGCTAAAACCTAACGTCGGGATGATAAATGCTTTGACAAACTGGCTAATGCTTACCTGCCTATGATAGTAAGGAAAGTTTTCCCGTGAAAGTTTCGAAAATGATGTTACCCTAAAGAGTAGTACGGGATGCACTTTGGCGATGTGAAACCAGACAACTAAAATTATATATAAGCTAGTACTTCGCCGCAGACAGAGAATGTTGACCATTCGGTATTTCTGTCTCTAGGCCTTTCTCCTTTCCAGGAGTTTGAATTCTTCTCTTTGCGATGGCTTCTCGGCTTGTGACAGCCTTGACTCTGGGTCTTCATTTTTTCCAAGCAGCATTTGCTCAAACCTACGATGAGCTCTACCGCCCTCAGTATCACTTTACCCCCCCTGTGAACTGGATGAATGATCCCAACGGACTTTTATATCACAATGGCCTCTATCATCTGTACTATCAATACAACCCAGGAGGGAACACCTGGGGAGCTATGTCTTGGGGCCATGCCACTAGCACTGATCTGACTCACTGGAATCACCAGCCTATTGCCCTCCTCGCTCGTGGCTACCCAGGTGATATCACTGAGATGTTCTTCTCTGGTTCTGCTGTCGCCGATACTCAGAACACGAGTGGATTTGGTACTAGTGGAAAGGTGCCATTTGTTGCGATGTATACTTCTTATGTGAGTATTTGAAACCTTTAAAGTCGGCTACTCTAACCCTTTTTCGGCCTTAGTACCCTGCATCCCAGAACCTCCCCAGTGGGAAGTTAGTCAACGGGGGCCAGCAAGCGCAGTCAATTGCCTACAGTTTGGACGAAGGCATGACATGGACAACCTACGACGCCGCCAATCCTGTCATTCTCAATCCCCCTACGCCATATACAGACCAATGGCGGGACTTCCGAGATCCATTCCTGTTCTGGCACGAAGCCAGCCAGAAGTGGATCTCTGTGGTTTCACTGGCCCAACTCCACAAATTACTTATTTACACCTCCCCGAATCTTAAGGATTGGACTTATGCAAGCGAATTTGGACCTTGGAATGCAGTCGGGGGTGTTTGGGAGTGTCCTAGCCTCTTTCCACTTGCTGTTGACGGAGATGACGCCAATACAAAATGGATTATGCAAATCGGGCTGAACCCTGGCGGGCCCCCTGGAGTGACTGGCTCAGGAACGCAGTATATTGTGGGAACCTTTGATGGAACAAAATTTGTTGCGGATCCCAACTCTCCACTTTCGGCACATACATCCACCAGTACCACTACCTCAGCATCCGTCACTACCTCAGCATCCATCACTACCTCAGCATCCATCACTACCTCAGCATCCATCACTACCTCAGCATCCATCACTACCTCAGCATCCATCACTACCTCAGCATCCATCACTACCTCAGCATCCATCACTACCTCAGCATCCATCACTACCTCAGCATCCATCACTACCTCAGCATCCATCACTACCTCAGCATCCATCACTACCTCAGCATCCATCACTACCTCAGCATCCATCACTCCCACAACCACAAAAGCAACTGCGACTGCTACTGCAACTGGAGACATCATCTTTCAGGATTTTGAAGGCGCCGGTGACTTCGCCTCTCGTGGCTGGGTTGCCACCGGGGGTTTGCTTGGGGCTGCTCCAGCTAAAGGGACTCTTGCGGGACAGCAAACCGTCACTGGATACGCTGGAAGTCAGCTGGTCAATACCTTCCTAAGCGGAGACTCTACAACTGGCACGCTCACATCCCCGGCTTTCACTATATCACTTCCATATGTCAATTTCCTAATTGGCGGCGGGAATGCTCCAGGGACGGAATGCATCAACCTGAAGGTGCAAGGCCAAGTTGTCCGGACGGCGACAGGCGCGAACGTGGAACAACTCGCACCAACAACCTGGAATGTCACGGACCTGATGGGTCAAACCGCCGTGCTTGAGATCGTGGATCAGCAAACAGGTGGCTGGGGACATATATTGATTGATCAGATTACCTTAACAGGTAATCCAGCTGGAGACATAGTCTTTCAAGATTTTGAAGGCGCCGGTAACTTCGCCTCTCGTGGCTGGGTTGCCACCGGGGGTTTGCTTGGGGCTGCTCCAGCTAAAGGGACTCTTGCGGGACAGCAAACCGTCACTGGATATGCTGGAAGTCAGCTGGTCAATACCTTCCTAAGCGGAGACTCTACAACTGGCACTCTCACATCCCCGGCTTTCACTATATCACTTCCATATGTCAATTTCCTAATTGGCGGCGGGAATGCTCCAGGGACGGAATGCATCAACCTGAAGGTGCAAGGCCAGGCTGTCCGGACGGCGACAGGCGCGAACGTGGAACAACTCGCACCAACAACCTGGAATGTCACGGACCTGATGGGTCAAACCGCTGTGCTTGAGATCGTGGATCAGCAAACAGGTGGCTGGGGACACATATTGATTGATCAGATTACCTTCACCGGCAGTACCAGCACCAACAACCTCCACAAACGCAGCGTTTCTAGCGTTACTTGGGATTTCAATGGTACTAGCACTTTTGCAGACTATGGCTGGACTCCGTCTGGAGATTTTGTTGGAAAAGGGCCAGCCCAGGGCACACTTGCGGGACAACAGGTTGTGACTGGGAATATGGGAAACTTCGTCAACACATTTTTGAGCGGAGATGGTACCACTGGAACACTCACGTCCCCCGCCTTCACCATAACTCAGAAGAAGATTAACTTTCTCATCGGTGGAGGCAATTCTCCGGGCATGGAATGCATCAATCTCAAGATCCAAGGCCAGGTTGTACGAACGGCTACAGGCGCTAATGCAGAACAACTCGTACCAACCACCTGGGATGTCACCGACCTGATAGGCCAGTCTGCGGTCATCGAGATTGTTGATCTCAGTACGACCGGCTGGGGGCACATTCTGATCGATGAGATTTCCTTCTCAAACATATCAATTGTGCCATATGGGCCCAACTGGTTGGACTATGGGCCGGACTTCTACGCTGCAACAACATTCAATGGATTATCATCCACAAATCGAATCGATATTGCGTGGATGAACAATTGGCAATACGCTAGCGCAATCCCTACTTCTCCATGGCGCAGCATGCTTTCAGTTGCCCGGAAGCTTTCACTCAAGACGATCGACGACAGGCCAAGACTGATCCAGCAACCTGAGGCAAACTGGACGAGTCTACAGACAACAACGTATTCTACCAGCTTTGATACAGTTGCTGAAGGGAATCAGCTCGTACAACTCTCCGGAAAATTGCTTGACATCACAGTGGCCTTTTCAGACAGAGTTGCAGCGTCGTCCTCATCGCAATTCGGCATAATTCTCAGAGCAACCTCTGACCTAGCACAGCAAACACGGATTGGCTATGATTTTAGCACAAAGAGGCTTTTTGTTGATCGAACGAAATCTGGAAATGTTGGCTTCGACGGGACTTTTCCCAGCACCTATTTTGCTCCTTTGGCACCCTCCGGTGATGGCCGAGTCACAATGCGCATTCTTCTTGACAGGTCCTCCGTTGAAGTCTTTGGAGGCCAGGGCGAGGTCACAATATCCGCTCAAATCTTTCCGCAGGACAATGGTGTTGATGTCCGGCTTTTCTCCGGAGGCGGGAGTACAAATGCTATCACGATTGATGCAATTGTGCTTGATTCAGTTTATGATTCATCCACCCCAAGTGCTTCTCTCAGTACGAGCTCAACCTCCATCGGTACTGTCACCACCACCTTCAGTAACACCGTGACTACCTCTGTCGGTAACACCCTGACCACCAGTACAAGAACCGTCACTAGCGCTAGCCCTACGTCTACAGCGCCCTATGATTTTCGTCCTGTTTTTCATTTTGTGCCAGAAGAGAACTGGATGAATGAGCCTAACGGACTGATCAAAATCGACTCTACCTGGCACCTTTTCTTTCAACACAACCCAACTGGAAACTTTTGGGGCAACTTAAGTTGGGGTCATGCTACTAGCATTGACCTTGTGTCCTGGGATTATAAACCGGTTGCGATTTCAAGCGCAGATGGGATTCAGGCTTTCACAGGAACCTCATACTTTGATGCGATGAATCTCTCGGGGCTTGGGACATCATCAAACCAGCCGTACCTTGCCTTTTATACTGGCTACGCACCTTCAAGTGGCATACAGGATCAAAGGCTTGCGTATAGCTTGGACCAGGGAGCGACATGGATGAAATACCAGGGTAATCCAATTATATCCCAAAGCCAAGAAGCGCCACACGACATAACCCAGGGTTTGGAGATACGTGATCCAAAGGTGTTCTACCACAGTCCGACGAGCAGATGGGTTATGATCCTGGCGCACGGAGGACAAAACAAACTAACATTCTGGACGTCTACCGATGCAAAGAACTGGACCTGGAGAAGTAATTTCGCTGCAAGCAATATTCTTGGATTCCCTAGTGGGGTCAACGGTTGGGAAGTGCCAGACTTTTTCGAACTTCGGATTCAAGGTACTACGCAATATAAATGGGTGTTGATTGTGACCCCCGCCGCTGGATCGCCTGCTGGTGGTAATGGGGTCTTTGCACTCACCGGATCTTTCGACGGCGAGGTATTTACAGCAGACGCGGTTGACCCTACCACTCTATGGCTCGATTATGGTCGCGATTGGGATGGGGTAATGAGTTGGGAAAACGTGCCTGCTTCGGACGGGCGCAGGGTTCTTGCTGCAGTAATGAACAGTTATGGTGGCAACCCCCCAACTAATACGTGGAAGGGAATGCTTTCATTCCCTCGTACTCTGGAACTCAAGCAACTTAATGGCAAACTCCGATTCCTCCAATTGCCCGTGAGCGAACTAGACGCGGTCGGTGCTTCAGTTGCGACTATCACGAATCAGACTCTTGCACCTGGACAAACATTGCTCTCTAACATCCATTCCCGGTCATTGGACATCCTTATTACGTTTGTTCCAGCCCAGGGCTCTACACTGTCTCTCTCCGTTCGGAAGGGAGGGTCTCAACAAACCGTGATTGAATATGTCCAGTCCAACAACCAACTTTCGGTCGATCGCAATGAAAGTGGAAACACCTCATACGATCCTGCAGCTGGCGGTGTCCACAGCGCCGCTCTCCACGCTGATGAGAATGGGAAGGTGCAATTGCGAGTATTGGTTGATGAATGCTCCATTGAGGTCTATGGCGGGCAAGGGGAGGCGGTGATCTCTGATTTGATATTCCCCGATTTTTCCTCGGATGGCCTGGCTTTGTCCACTAGTCAAGGGAACGTGGTATTGGAATCAGTCGACGTGCGGTCGATTTTGCTCTGAGCTTGCTTTATAATCAAGGATATAACGTTCATGCATATGTGGGGGTAGTAGGAAGAGGTCTCGGCATTCGCTTCCTATATTGACCTGACAATCGTTATTTTCGTCATAAACCGTATGGGCACATGTTTGCTCCTGTGTGGGTTGCTTCTGTCTTCCCTCCTCTTGCAGAGTTGATCATACAAGCTACATCATGTACTCTCCTTGTATTGGTATTGAACATGCCAGGGACTGCCTATAGCTATAAGAAAGAAATGCCAAGAAATCCGACTTGTGCGCAGTAACCTAGAGTAAAAGGATTTGTACAAATACTATTTGAGAGCAAGGAATCCACTTTATGGATGTAATATCATTCAATCTCCATTAAAATTTATAATTGTGTATATATCATAGATGAGTGCAGTAAAACTCAAATGAGATTTGCGGATGGGTATGTAGATTCCAATCTTCTTGACAGTCGTGCCATCCTACCCATGATCTAAGCGTAAGCAGCTTCTAGTTAACTCTCTCTATACTGCAATAGTTCACTCGTATACCATAATACTGACCCATCAAATGACAGCAGATCAAGACTTCCATACTGCCGGACGACTGCAAGATTACTCACTCAACACTTTACACACGCATCCGAGCGCTCACCCAACTGCCGGGATCGACCCCCCAGTCAGGCAAAAACAAAGGAGGTTTCTCAGTTTCCACAGACTTCCAACAAACAAATTTGTGAGTAGTGTTTCATTTTGCTCGTGGCTACTAACCACATAATCCTGTCTATCAGATCGTCCAGCCCTCTTTTTAGACCTTAGCTTCTTCAACAATCCGTTGACTCTTCTGTCCTATCTTCATAACAGTTTCCATACCCTACACATTTATCCAACCGCCATGGCATCCACTGAGTGCTAGAAGCCCGATGATCCTTCACCATAAGTAGGGAGCTTCCCGCAGCTTTTCATGTTTACAGTAAGTTAAAGACTGATAGGCGGATGTTGAACGTTATAGAAACCCATTGATGAATTATTTATTCAACTTTCTCACTCCTTGGTGATGAATATCTATCAATTCTAGTCAGACCACCACACATTGTACGGGAGATATGTCCCGTTTCCAATATACAATTGAAGCCTTTCCATATTCAAGAAAGCCGAGCTCAAGAAAGCCAGCATTCCTGAATTTTCACATACGTTACTTAGCAGATTACGTTCCAAGGGAAAAGATACAAATGGCAATACAGACCTCCAACAAGAGAACGAGAAAGATGATACAAGGAACATAAAATAATTCCTTCTTTGATATCCCCTTCCGCCTTCCAATTCTAAGGGTTCCTAATTTTCCCAAAATTCAGTTCCGTTTAAAGCCTTAGTTCCTTATTTCCCTTAGCCAGGTTCATACCGTTGCTATCCTTGATTTAGCTCTGAAAGTCTCTCACCTATCTCACACTCCGAGAGCCTGCTGGTCATGTGAACGTAATACATAATATGCCTGGATCATCTTGCTAAGACGCCTCAGAAACCATGTGGTCCGACAAATAACCATTCGTTTCTCCGTAGACCTTCTGGAAATAGGGCTTAAACCTTCCATGGATGATAATCCGCCGATCTGAGACGAATACCCAGGGCCATCAAGTAGAAGAATTATGAGAGGTTTAGATGAGAGAAGAAAAGGGGGAAAAATCGCGGACATTTGGACCCCTTCCGCGATCCTTTGCAGCACTGTGGCGCCCGTAACAGACGTACCCCCCGCACTTTAGAACATTCGCCGGGGCGGGGGGGTGAGTTTTGGAAATTACCATCCAGCCCGTGCGCACCTACGAGGGTGTCCCACAATTCACAGTTATTATCTCTTGAACCCCAGTCCCTTAGGCAACCCGGGCTGGGACAAGCGGGGAACTTCCAGACTCCCTGAAGGTTCCTGAAAATTTCTTGTTGAAATTAACTTTCGACTTTCCCGAAGAAGCAAAATTAAGAGTAAGTTCCGTGTGGGCGCCTCGCTTGTTTACTTCGGAGTAACCTCGGAATGATGGTCCTTGTCTCAAAGTTTTCTAGAACTGCTTACAAGGGTGTTTTCGCCCTCAGTCCATCCGTCAAGTTCACAAGCTTTCACTTCGGCACTGGCTGGTAGTTCTGATGTCTCCGCGGTACGACACCCAATACGGCAAGTGGTGGTCGAAAGCCGTATCGGGCGTATGGGTATTTGAGGAGAGAAATGGATAGACAAACAGGCTAGCGTATATAAATGGCTCCATATCCATGCTGAATATCCCAGAATTCAACCTTACACTTTCCGAATACCTTACCCACGGGCATCGCGGCCGTTTCTAGGACCTCGCCATGGTTATTATGCTTAAAGCCCTTCTTCTAGGGCTCAGCGCATTCCAGGCTGTGTCTGCAGAAAAGCCTAGCTATACTGAGCTCTACCGTCCTCAGTTTCACTTCACTCCTTCCAAGAACTGGATGAACGACCCCAGTGGCCTCTTGTATCATGAGGGGATCTACCACCTTTTCTATCAGTACAACCCTGGTGGAGCGACCTGGGGTGCCATGTCATGGGGCCACGCCACTAGTCGTGATTTGACTCATTGGGAGCAACAACCTGTCGCCCTCCTCGCCCGTGGCTACCCGAACAACATCACGGAGATGTTTTTCACCGGATCTGCCGTGGTCGATGTTGACAATACAAGCGGTTTCGGCCACAGTGGCAAGACGCCTTTGGTTGCTATGTATACTTCCTACGTAGGTTCTTCACACCAACTATCATACTTCTTCTCACGAAAGCGGCTGACGCTCATCCTTTAGTATCCTTACGCACAAACCATGCCAAGTGGGAAGACAGTCCAAGCAAACCAGCAAGCCCAGTCCATTGCCTATAGTCTGGACAACGGCATGACTTGGACCACGTATGATGCAGCGAACCCGGTGATTTCGGATCCTCCCGCCCCATATTCCGATCAGTTCCTCAACTTCCGTGATCCCAATATCTTCTGGCACAAACCGACGAAGAAGTGGATTGCTGTCCTTTCTTTGGCAGAGCTTCATAAGCTCCTTATTTATACATCCAAAGACCTTAAGAACTGGACTCTTGCCAGTGAATTCGGGCCCGTAAATGCCGTCGGCGGGGTGTGGGAGTGTCCGAATCTCTTCCCACTATCTGTCGACGGTGACGATGACAACCTGAAATGGGTTGCAATGATCGGACTCAACCCTGGTGGGCCCCCTGGAACTATCGGCTCGGGCACGCAATATGTGGTTGGAAACTTCGACGGAACCACATTCACCGCCGAGGCCGACAGTTTATATTCAGGGACCACCCCTCCTCCAAGCGACAGTATCGTTTTTGCAGATTTCGAAGGTACAGGGAGCTTTGCCGATCTTGGTTGGACCCCTGCTGGAGACTTGATCGGCCAGTCACCAGTTAACGGCACCCTGCGTGGACAGAACCCCGTAACTGGCTATTTGGGCAAGCGCCTCGTCAACACATTCTTAAATGGAGACGCCACGACTGGGACACTCACCTCTAGATCCTTCACAATCTCCAAGAGATACATCAATTTCCTCATTGGCGGCGGCCATGATTTCAATAATACAGCCGTGCACTTGAAGGTGGATGGCCAAATCGTGCGTTCCGCTACGGGCACGAACAGCGAGAGCCTCTCATGGCAGAGTTGGGATGTCGGCTCGCTGCTGAATCAGACTGCCGTGATTCAGATTGTTGATACCTCATCTGGCGGCTGGGGCCATATAAATGTCGACGAAATTTCCTTCTCGGACTCTATGGCGCGAAGCCAAGTGGCTAACTGGGTAGACTGGGGCCCGGATTTCTACGCGGCTCAGAGCTATAATGGACTACCTCCAGATGAGCACATCGCTATTGCCTGGATGAACAATTGGCAATACGCTGGGGTGATCCCTACTAGCCCATGGCGCAGTGCAACGTCAATCCCTCGAGAATTCTCATTGAAGACGATCGATGGAAAGGCTACTCTGGTGCAGGCCCCCACGGAGAAATGGGGCTCCATCGTGAGACGCAAGGCCCTCGATCGGTCATGGTCTTCCTTGAATCAAGGCACAAAGTCACTGGGCTCCGTTGGAAAGGCACTGCAGATTGAACTCAGTTTCTCTGACCGAGAACCAGCTGCCGCGGAAGCCTCTCAGTTCGGAATCATTGTTCGGGCTACCCCAGACCTTAAACAACAGACACGCGTTGGCTACGACTTCTCAACTAAGGAAATATTCGTCGATCGAAGCCAGTCTGGTGATGTTTCATTTGATGGCACTTTTCCCGCCACCTATTACGCTCCGCTTGCTGCTACCGCCAAAGGTCAAATCAACTTGCGGATTTATGTGGACTGGTCTAGTGTTGAGGTCTTCGGAGGCGAGGGTGAGACTACAATGACCGCCCAGATATTCCCAAGCGATAGCGCAGCCCATGCCCAGATCTTCTCCACGGGAGGAAACACCCAGAATGTCCGAATTAGAATAAACGAGATTTCTTCGGCGTGGGCTGATTAGTCAGCAGGGAGAATGAGTGCTCCAAAAATGAGGAAACTTGGACGTTTTCAATCGTGATGTATTTAAACAATACTAGAACATTACAGAGCGGTCCAGTCATATCGAAGCGAGTGGATATAGCCAGGTGCTGACATCACCAAGAGTGAAAAAAGTGTTCCTGCCCGGGTGCCATCCATGTAGTAGGTCATTAAGGTAGACAACATTGGGGACCATAACGGTGTCAGGGACTGTGTATGCATCTGTGGCCACATGGAACGTATTACACGCACATTATTCAATGTGTTGTCTTGGGATAAACGAACCTAGAATAGCCACTGAACAATTCGTGTCACCCTAGTATCTCAGATATAGTATATCTTAAGGTAGGCTACACCAGCCAGCGTATGTGGATTTCAGTTATTGTTATTATGCCAGTACGTTGGGTGTATAGCCTTGAATTAAATTTTTAATAGATCCAAAACTCTTTTTATGAATATATGGTGAAAGAATCGAGAATATCAATCTGGCTTCTAATCCTTGTATGACGCCCCGACGCTACTCCTAGTTGAGAAAGACTAGTCATACTGGACCTTAGTTCACGTAGTTCCGGGCCGAGCGAGAAACCCCAGAACACCATACTAAACGTGAAATTTCACAACTTCATATTTCAACGCTCAAGGCTTCTGAAATGATAGTGTAGTAATGATGAGTTTTATAGGTTTCAATTAGTAGTTCATCCGGTTCATGACTGTTGTATGGTATTACAATGTCAATATATATCTTCAAGACCCGCTCAGACCGTATTTCGGTATTCCAAGTGAATATTGATCTTCTGAATCTGGTATCACTGGTGCTAAGAAGACGCGTCCTACAGAGTATCAAGCAGAAAGCTTCTCGTTAATATAGCTCGACCTTAAAATTACATTTAGTTTGGTGCTTTGAGGTGTCTCGCTCAGCCGGTTACTACGTTTAGTCGGCACGCAACTGACACATTGGAATTTGTGGGAGCTCTTGTGACTCTAGATCTCGTCCTTTGTCTGAATACCGGTTGCTGAATTGCGAATATTCGCTGCGCTGCTTCCTATATCAGCGCAGGCCTTCCATTTACGCCCCACGATCAGCTTATTCAGACCGAATTGCTCTGGCTGAATGGCAATGTCTACCTCTCTCCCGGTTTCCTTCCTCTTTGGGGAACTCCTAGACGGCATCTACCACTAGGATAGAGTCTTAGTGGTGGCGACTACCAGCAGGGAGCGGGGGATCTTTAGCCGACTGGGTATTAACCCGAACAAGCCGGTCAAAGCAAAACCTGCGTTGACGATGATGCCACTGGATGGAAGCGTTGGTGTCAAGTTCGGACAGGGGAATTCGTAATTTTGATTTAGGCTGCCCAAACTCAACAGCACAGAGCAAAGCCTGCCGCTTGGCGGAGAAGTAAACAAATATTTCATAATAATGGACGGAAGAAGCGGAGATTGTGCGGGGCCCAGTACTCCGTACGGTCGTACGGGTCGTGTGAAATCTTTACGCTTGCGCCCGACAGCCGGAAAGCCCGATAGCCCGACACACAGCGACGGCCAGGAACACCAATCTCAACCCGAGAACTCTGCCTCTTCCCGAGAAGATCGCGGAGAAGCTCCACTCCTCCGCAGTAGAACTTCTTTGCAGCTTCTGTCCTCGCAGTAATACCGCCTCATCCACGCCTGGACTGCTGTCGGACCACATGTTCATAAAATATGATGGTTTGAAGGACCTTTTTGAGAAGCACCTCAGTCCACGTATGTTCTCTGGAGTGTTGAACATCGAGCGATTCTTCCAGGGTTGCCCATAAATATCACGTCTTTTCCCTCCATCCTCATCGTTCCAGCAACATCTTCTCCTCAGTCCTCAACCCAAACCATTATTAGTGGCGGAGATGGGTATCTTGATCAAACAGCCAGAGGGAACTGCGGGAAAGGCATGGCCTGCTATTCTAATTAGCGGGTTTGTTGCCTTTGGAGGTATTCTTTTCGGGTAAGTTGGTTGGATGTAGTCTCCCCGTCCTGAGTACAAGCTTGAGCTCATCCTTGGCGCAGCTATGATACAGGTACAATAAGCGGCATTCTCGCCATGCCGTACTGGGAGAAGCTGTTCTCTACCGGCTACAGAGGCTCCGATGGTAATCTTACCATCACCTCCAGTCAAGCTTCGGCCATTGTATCTATTCTATCTGCGGGTACTTTTTTCGGCGCACTTGGTGCAGCCCCTATGGGAGATTTCATTGGCCGTCGTTGGGGATTGATCTCTTCGACTGGTGTATTTACACTCGGAGTTATTTTCCAGACTGCTGCGACAGGTATTCCTCTTTTTTTAGCAGGACGTTTCTTTGCGGGCTTCGGTGTTGGTTTGATCTCAGCACTGAGTGAGTGTTTATCTATCCCGTTGCATGAGTTACCCAGCGCTAACAGAACATGTTGATAAGTCCCGCTTTACCAGTCCGAAACGGCCCCGAAATGGATTCGCGGCTTTATCGTTGGCTCGTACCAATTTGCCATCACCGTAGGTCTTTTGTTGGCCGCTGTGGTGAATAATGCTACCCATTCGCGTAATAACACTGGCTCTTACCGCATCCCGATCGCGGTCCAATTTGCATGGGCTATTGTCCTTGTGGTTGGCATGTTTCTCCTTCCGGAAACACCCCGCTACATGATTAAGAGGGATAATCATCAAGGTGCTGTTCGGAGCCTAGCTAAGCTCAGACGTCTCCCAGAAGATGATTCTGCTTTGCTTGTGGAACTTGCCGAAATCCAGGCAAACCATGAGTATGAGATGAGCATTGGAAGCGCCGGTTACGTCGAGTGTTTCAAAGGTAACCTTGGAAAACGCCTACTTACAGGCTGTTTCCTCCAGGGCCTTCAGCAGTTAACCGGTATTAACTTTATCTTCTATTACGGCACCCAGTTCTTTAAGAACTCTGGATTCAAGAATGAGTTTGTCATCAGTTTGATTACTAGCTGTGTTAACGTTGGCTCTACGATCCCTGGTCTCTATGCTATTGACAAGTGGGGAAGACGCCCAGTCTTGCTTGTCGGAGCTATTGGCATGACTGTGTCTCAGCTTCTAGTGGCCGTCCTTGGAACTACAACCACCAGTCAAGACGCCTTTGGAAATATCATTGTCCACAATGAAGCTGCTCAGAAGGCAGCCATCGCTTTTATTTGTATCTATATCTTCTTCTTTGCTGCCTCATGGGGCCCGATCGCCTGGTAAGTTTAACATCTTTCTCTTGGTCCTCTTCCTGGTAGTCGAAGCTAATACTATAATAGGGTGGTGACAGGAGAGATCTTTCCTCTTAAGGTCAGAGCTAAGTCTCTGTCTATGACTACCGCCACCAATTGGCTGCTTAATTGGGCACTGAGCTTCTCTACGCCTTACTTGGTCAACTATGGGCCTGGTAATGCGAATCTGCAATCCAAGATCTTTTTCATCTGGTTTGGCTGTTGCTTTCTCTGCATCGCTTTCGTGTATACCATGATCTATGAGACCAAAGGCTTGACCTTAGAGGAAGTCGATGAGCTCTATCGTGAGGTCAGCTCTGCTAGGAAGAGTGTTGGCTGGAAGCCAACCATTACCTGGGCTGAGAAGAAGGAAGCGTCAGACACGTTTGGAGAGAAGGGCCAACTTGCGGAACACGCAGAGTTCCACGATGCGCAAGCTTAGTCAGAAAGGCTTTGCGGGCTCATGAGGAATATCCAAACGAAGGGTTCGTTGGTGATAGAGTATAATGGCGTACTGTGTGGACAATTATTAAGTAGACGCATCCCGGATTGTTGGTTGGGGGGCGCGGCGCTCCAGGAGCGCTTTTCGAGGCATATTAGCATGGAAATGTGAACTCCAAGCAAGCTAAACCAAATAATGCAGATAAGGGTTTGTCCATGAAGAATTATTGATCTTGATAAAGAAGAGAAATCAAACTGAATGGACAGAAGCTAGAGACATGACCAAGTTTCCTAGCCCATTATATCATTATTAAATTTCTTTTAAAGGCATTATTGATACATCGTTGTGAAATTGCCATGCTTGAGTTGTTCTGTCATTCTGGGAAAGATCACTTTGCGATGTCGTAAACATAGGGCATTGTCCAGCGATTTTGGTGGTTACTTCACCCAATCTATACTCTCTACATTTTTGGACCTTGGAAAGATTGCGCAGCTGCAGGTTTACTCTACGTTAGCAAGTAATCTATCCGAGACCAGAGGAAATTCTAAGGATATGAGCAGCATAAATATTCAGGCATGTGAGAATGATAGAAAAACTTTCTCTCGACAAGATCAAATATTCAAGCTTGAGTTTCGGTGGAATTGGGCTGGTAGGTTAGAGGTTATACAAGAAGTGAGAAACCTAAGATTGTTTGTAGCCCCTTACAACAGTGGCTACAACCAGATACACAAAAGAAGCAAGAGACTCTTCACCAAAAGTCAGTTACCCAAGTGCAAAGGTCGGGGTTACCGCTCTCGCTATCAATTCAATTTTCAAAACCACTTCGGAGTTCTCTGTAAGTTAATGTGGCTGGAACAATACGAGGCTTCAACGTTTTGGCTCTACTGGCCGGGGTCCACAAGCGGGTTTTACAGAATGCGCTGGCAGCTAGGGCGTTATCTGCTCTTGTTTTCGCTACCAGTAAAATTAATTTTTGGTAGTTGGAGGTGTACCGTGGTTGCATTTGCTCATATGATTATTCTCTAGACCCGTTCACTGTGGCCAGAGAAAAAGCCTCTAAGACGACACAGACCGAGCAACTAGAGGTGCATGCAAGATCTTGTTATCTGTCCAGCGATTACTTCTATTACCCTACTAGGAACCAATAGGTACAAAAGCGTTCTTATTCAACCAGCAGATAGCGGTTTTGATAGATGAAGTCTCGACAGACGATTCGATTCTTTCAATTTTTGCCCAACTGGTAGAGAATCAAGGGTAGAATTAAAACAAAAATTAGAAAGATGTGGAGAAATATATGACCGGGCAGATGCTGAATTTAAAGGCCGACATAGCTGTCAGGCTGGCATCGCGCCATTGCTCTAACCAAAATGGCATCGTGAGAGCAATAGTAACTCAAAATCAATGCTCCAGCCGCAGGATGAGAATGATAGTCCAATGGTTTTTAAACGACCGACGCTGTATTTTGCTCTACCTATTGTGCGTTGTATTCTCAACCAGAGCCAGCTTGCCTTTCAAAAAGGTCACACTGCGTCGCATTGAAGATTGTTGCATTACACATTACAATATCTTCCTTCACATTTGGAGGACACTCCTAACCGTTTTCTTAAGGAGAACACGCACACCTGACCTAGCACGGACTTATCTCCCACCCCAGAGAGAGTAACGGGGTAATCTCTGAAAGCTCTACACTCCCCTGGTGCTTTCGTGATAGTCAATATGCCTATGGCAAGAACTGATACATTACCATCACTTCAACGCCTGCCATGCTGTTCTACTGTCAGGCGAGTCATACAATGCTCTGTAGTTGCCATGACGCGATATGTGGTGCGGCGGATTCATTGACTACCATGGACTCCGATTCTCTGTTACGTTAATATCTTTTAGCTGGCAACATCACTGGGTGGACAATAGTAACGAAATTCTCAAGTAAATGGTAAAATGTTTTCAGGAACACGGATTCGTTATTAACACCACTGGGTATTGAGTGCTGATTTACACGGATCTGTGCGATGGGTCAGAATTTGAAGTATAGGGATGGCCAGGATAGCCCTTTTCTTATACTACATGACTGTACCATGCGCAAGGCTCCCCATGCGCTAACATACTGACGTATGCTAGTTACTTGGTGTGCTCTTGGGCTTGCGAATTTGAAGTTGATGAGTAATAATAGTATTCTGAGAAAATTTTAGAAGCTAAACTAGATTCAGTGCCTAATATTGGGCAAAGAAGTAGATCAGAAGTATGCACAAGCCATATTTCCAGTTTAGATGTGTATTCACAGTATTGGGTGGAAGCTATATACCCGGTGAGTCATAGTACTATGATCTCGATGATTCCCGCTATCTATGCCTTAATGCTTATCAGTGGGCTTGGTGTACTTTGAGTATTGAGCCAATTCAAAATAAAGTCGAAGGGGTAGAATGAGTCTTCCAGAGGCAAAATAAAATAGAACAACAAAACCAATAGTCCATTTTACGCAACATCTATCCAGTGGGTGTGTTCCGTGCGTCGCTCTTCGTGAGGAGGATCCAGCCGTTGTAAATTCTGTGCAAAATCTCCAAGTCAACAGCGGCGGGGCTCGTAGCCAGCCCGTACTTTTTAGTTAGGAGGGATCGATAGAGAAGCGCCACCGCACATTGTGAAAATCAGCAATGTACCGAAGAAATGGACGCCAATTGCTGCATCAAACTGCCGGGCCAAAGAATAAAGTACTGGGATCTTTGCTACTTCCCTCCCCAATATTGTTCACCACACTGGTTAGAGTTAAGCCGTACGGAATAGATATTACTCGAGGGTGGTGCGATTTCGTTAAATTGTGCAATATAGATCCCTTCGGCAAAATTATGGTTCATTTTAGCACTCCTTGGATGGTACGCAGCCACGTCGAAGGGAAACAAGGTACGACAACCCAGGTGTAAGTTTCAGGGGACACTCACAATATGTAGGTTCTGCTCTCCCTTCCCCTCCCCTCCATCCCCTTCGGAAGTTACGGTTCCGATACCATAGTCACTCAGTCCAAAACCCATTTGAATGAGCTGATGGCCCACCCCAATAGGTATGGTCGCTTGGCGCATACGCCAAGATAAAATTGTTCACCGGGCTTACTTTGCCGTTGCTTCGAGACCCAAGGAATTGTAGTCGCAGCCTAGGATGCTGGCGCGACGTCCCGCTGGTGAAAGTCTCTCAACGCGTCCATGCATCTCCAGCCCATGATTAACGGTAAGTCTTTCTGTTATTAGTACTAGTTTCTCAGCTGACCAATCTCTCTATTCTAGAAAGCATGGAGTGTGCCTGTCGCAGGTTTCTCTGCGACCCCCATCTCTTCACTTGCAAGGGCTCGATCCTAATATGTCTCTCTAATAGTTAGTTAAGTTAACTAAATGCCTTATCCCTTACTAAACCACAATATTTTGATTCCTCCTTGTTTGAACAGGTTGTGGTTTAGTATGCTCTTTATTCGGAACCTATCGTTCCGTACTGGCTTGTGCTTCATTGCCCGTAGATTCCTACAGGAATGGTACAGAGGACCTGACTGGCCCATTTCATGCTGACTGTCAGTGCGCAGGGTACAACGATGAATGGGGCTCGGTTAGAAACATCTTGAGAAGTTGCGAAGAACTGGTCATCACAGTTAATGACTGGCGGTCAGGCTTCCTGGTCTTAACAGTGGAGAGTTTTAGCAAACTCGATCTCCACAGAAAGAAAAAAATTGGGAAGCACAGTTTCTGATTGACGCTGGCTGCGTTTCCGAAATTCGTCCAGTTCGGTGCCTCTCAGATCGTGACTTGCGTATTCACGTGTTATTGGAATATCCAAGCAGTTGATATAGAATACTCCAGCTCACAGGACCTACCTGTCTGGTTCAGGTCAGGCAGTAACTGAACAGGGCCAATCTGTGCGCTTCCTTCTGCCCTTTGTGATTACGCTGTGAAAGAAACGTGTTTGCTAAGCTCGCTCGCTAGCTAACAGTCCCTCGTTTGAATCCTCAATCCTTCTTGCTATATAATAGACGTATATCATGTACTTGCTTACCAGCCAGTTAGATGAATCTCTTCTCCTATCAGCTCCGTTGGTCATACAAGATTATGCCTTCGTCGGGAGAAACAATTATTGATAAAACTCCTCGCATATCAGTTCTACCAATCACTCTCCAGAACTACAGTGCCAAGTCTTCAAGGCAATGCAAGGGCAAGTCTGGCTAGCCTTATTAGGCAGCACTCTTGTCATCCGCCAGTGATAACTCATTATATATATGAGAAAAGACTTACAAGGACAAAGATTGAGACTGTACCGGATGGGAAGGAGGGGACATGATGATGGAAGTGGGGTGGAGAGCTGCCAAAAGCAGAGCGGAGCCCTTCATAAAACCGAAAGTAATTCTGCCACATGGATGGACGTAGCTGTCCCCTGCCGGTTCAGGCATTTATCACTTCCCGCACTAGACTTTATACCCCCATTGAGCGGTACGAATGATCTTTCTTTCGTCTGTGACTGCAACAGGGATGAACGTTTTCATAGTGATCCAGACATTAAAGATAACAATCAGATTGATATTCCCCTGCTCATTTTTGCTACCGCATCAGCTAGAATGCCCTGCATCATATGTAGCGATGGACCAAACGCTACTGTATCGTCGAAGAGCTGCATCGCGGCATGGAAACTCTTCAAAACTTCTAGTGGAATAATAGTAGATAAAGCGGGGCTTTCTTTAGCTCGAAGTGCTGCCATTGTGATAGTAAATACACTGCGTTATCATTTAGCGTCCATCGAAAGACCGCAGAAAACAACTGTCATACCTAGCATAAAGTGTCCATGTATTGGGAAGGCACTGTGGTATACAGGCAGCAGCACTCAAAACAAAGCGATTATAAGCCTGGAAAAATTCAAGGCAGAATGGCAGGAGCGTTTTATCATATTGCTCTCCTTCTGCCACGACCTGGTGGACTGCCGGCCACAGAATTGACGCCTTGTACGCGTGATATTGAGTTCGGAGGAAAAGCAACTGAGGGTTGATATTGCACTCAGAAATGCAATAACGATCGAAACGAAGGTATTCCGGTAGGTGCGAGCGCCACTGGTCGAGCTGCAAATCTAACTCAGTCGATATAACCGGAGCGAAAATACGTTTCCCGCTAGGTAATGTCCGAGTAGATGTTGTACAGTGTTGGAGCATCCGCCGCATGGCGGACTCTGCCAAAAAGTATGAAAACAGCTTACTAGAGGGCTGAGAACTGCTGAACGAGCCACCAGGAGAACCAGTGTCAACTGGCGCGCTGAAATGGGACGGGTGTGCCTCGTCTACCGGATGTGACCAAGACTGCAAGGGGATTTCGTTCTCGAAGGTCCAGAAGCTGCGAATAGTCAGATCTAGCTGGGTTGCTAGCTCACTTTCGATCAATAGAGCCACCCCTAATGCACGTTGAATGAGTTCTTGGTTTTCTGCGTCGAGAGAGGCACTCTTCAGCATGTTCCGGGCATGCATGGAGGCGATGAGAATATAATCGTGCGCTTGGCAGGGCTTGACCAAGCGTAAATAATACGTGCTTATATATATTAGACATTGCAAGGCCGTGAGACTATATTCAAGGAGAATACTTGGCAGTAGAAGCAGCGCCTCTTCCATTAATGGAATGTCGGGTCGCTCTCTGAGCGCCACGGGCAGCGACTCATACTGGGCCAACGAACCTATCGCCATTAATGTAAGGTACAGACAGCGATCGGAAGTGATTTTTGGAACGTCTCTTGTGTCAAGGAACTTATCGCGTAACCGGCAGCTAAGAATTGGGTACCAGGTGTGAATTTTGTTGAAAAATGCAGAAAGCGTGCTACCACAACCGATGGATTAGGAATCTTGATACCAGGTCCAGCATTGAAGGGTGGGTTACTTAGCATGTTGCAGCACGAACCTTATTGGGCTGAAGCCTCTAGAAAAGAAATTGTGCACTCCAACGGGCGATTGATGGAACGTGGGAGCTATTGCTCGTTCAGCATCGGCCATGTTTTGAGCAAGGTCGCGTTTGAGGCCAAGAAGTTCCATGAAAGCCGCGTTCTGAATCACCATGCACGGAACGGAAGAGAACTTAAGTTCGTCTGCTCTTCCACTCTGCTCTCGGTCCCAGCTGGAAACCTGTGCAGCGGTGGGCGCCTTGTTTACCAAACAGCATCCGCGCGTCTCGACGGAGGAAAGCAGATTTTCGACAATATCCAGTCGATCCCGGAACATGCACAACTCTATTTCAACTCTGAAGCTGTTAGCACTACTTGAACCCCCTTATATCTCTCGGCAGGACCTGTACCTCGATTGGACCCGGACTCAGCACTTCCGAATAAATACAGTCAACATTCCGCCGGGCACAAGTCCCACATTTGGGTCGCGATCTGTCGCACTTTGTCCGCCGAACACGACAAAAGTTACACGCGCTGAAGTTGCGCTGTCGGCGGTTTGTGTTGACCATATTGGATGCGGTAGTTTGGTACCAAGTGCCAAGTGGTGTCTCAATTGTCGCCGAAGACACCGAGATTCCGCAAGAGTCATATGAGGGAGAGGCGCTCCGACGTAAAGACGATAGATAATGTCGCCCCGTAAAGCGCCCTCGCGGTTTTAAATATGCTTATTAGGAAACAACGGCAAATCGATCTAGCCCAATGACCTTCTCGGTCAAGATGTAGCAACCAGTAGCCATCGAGTTGCAGCCAGCACTCATCCAAAGCCTCAGGAGTGTCCAGTTTCTTGTTTATTTCCCGCGCGAGACGCCACGATCTTTTCTCTCTGGGAATCTTACCGTATTTTGCCTGTGATTGGCAAGGCTGCGGAGTTAAATACCACAGCGGGTTGCTGTGCTCCGCGGTCATCCTGGGGTGAGCATGCAAAGTTTCCACCACGAAGGCAAATCTTGCTGAGATTCTCCACGGTAATTCGATTTCACCTTTCGAGATCCCCGCATTGAAATACGTTCTGGAGCCCGGAGCAAAATATTCCATTCCAATTTCGGCAAAGGAGTTCGGGGTTTCTATCCACATCATAGCTCAAAGCAGTTGATCCAGATCCGGTACCACCTTAACGCTAGGCTCCCGGGTAGGTCCTCTATATAAAACACGAAAGGCAATTTGAAATATAGTTATATCCACGAGGGGACACTATCTCCTGCTACTTATGATGTGGAAGCGAGATGTTGTGCGGTAGGATTCATTGAATATGGCCGTCTACTTGACTTTGACAAAGAAGCGATCATATTGTACAACATTTTCCCACACTTTTTAGGGCCTGCGGCGGCTCTATTTTATGCCGAGGATCCCCTCTGTGGATCTGATATCCAAATTTACGAGGCTGAATGAGTGGTGACCTCTAAAATTCTAAAGTTCGTTAAGGGAAGTTAACGACGCCTTCGCGAACGGTGGAAACTGGACATTCATCCGTCTCTGGCCCGGATCCTGTCTCGGACATTATGACTTCTGCAAACATACGTTGCCTCTACACGGAGAAATGAAGAAATAGAGTGGTGAACCCTTCTGGCTAGGATTCGTTATATTAGCGTAATAGAACGCTGATTTATGCTGTGCAAAAGAGTAGAGCTGCCGGAAACACAGTGTTAAATTGGCAAACATCACATAAAGACGGCCCCTAAATGGTTTTCGGCGCCCCCTATGTTAGGGGAGGCACCGCGTATACATTAGAAGGTCCTGGCTACTATTGAAGCAAAGAGTTTGGAACATGATAGATATCATGACGGTAAAGGCACCTGCTAAGCTAATCTAGGTAGTAAACTTTCTTGCCTGCAACACAAGGGACATTATCCTAGGTCCTTTGTAGCATAATGCATTGCAGCGAAATCTATCGGAATGCCTAAACTGGACTGGCTTACAATCCTGTATCTTTGGGGAAATAGAAAGTTAAACTTACTAGGACATTTCTAGAAGCGTTTAGGGAGTCTGTGGACGGTCCCTGCCTTTTTCTGCCTAGGGTATCTTGAAACACTTGGGTCCGAGACATGGTGACATTATCAATTGCAGGGTACTGCCTAGATGAACAAGGGCTAGGTTCTAATTTTCAGATATCACCCTGGGAACTGTCTAAAGTGGAGTAGGTCTTCGGTTAATTGGGCGCGTTATGCTACAAGGTGTCGCGGAAGGGGTCCAATCTTCCGCGGCCTCCTTTTTTTTTATTTTCTTTCATCCTGAATCCCTCATATTCTCAACGCCTGATTCCAACAGACGTGCACCCATGGCCGTCAAATGCTACCTACCCGTAGAAAGTTTAGCTCCTATTTCCAAGAAAATTTGCGGGAACTACCGAGTTGTTTCACTTGCTTCCGCAACTCTGCAAACATAATTCAGTTATATTCATATGGTTAGTGGACGTTGGAGTGCGAGGTGGTTGGATTAAAAATGGAGCTAAATTCAGGATAGTGAACGAACGAACCAGGCCAAGAGGAATTTAATGCCGGAATGGAACAGAATCTAGGAACCTATAGAGTAGTTGGAATAGGTGGGATGCCTGAGACACCAAGGGAGGACTTGTTTTATGTTCTTGTATTTTCATTCGCATCTTCTTCTGGATATCTGTATTATCATTGAACGTATTGCCCCGTTGCTCCAGTCAAACACGGAGAAGATACACTCTACACTCCAGATATGACGATCTACGTCGCGAATCCCCACTCTGCCACGTCAACTGCTTTATAAGCGACACTACGACGTTTCATTTGCTTCACGCACGTAGCATAAACTCACAGGCTATAATGTGCTCGGGTTAGAGGAGACCACTGATTTTCGCGAATACTATTAAAAGGGGGCATGCAAGGCCGGTATTAATGGTCGTATCAGATCTAATCATTGAAAACAATCCCCCTTTCATAATTCTTCTGAGAAACTTCCGATTCACTCTGGATACAATGATGACCACGGTCACCCGCCAGCCGTGTAAGCGGCATCTGATACTTACTTTCCTCTTCGTGTCTTGCAGCTTCAGTTATCTCGCTGTCGCTGATGACTTCCGCCCAACGTATCACTTTTGTCCAGATGTGAACTGGATGAATGAGCCCAACGGCCTGATTAGAATAGACTTGGACTGGCACTTATTCTATCAACATAATCCCGACGGAAACTACTGGGGAAACCTGAGCTGGGGGCACGCAACTAGCACCGATTTACTTCACTGGAATTACCAACCGATCGCCATTTCAAGCGCAGACGGTATTCAAGCATTTACTGGAACCTCCTATTACGATATTTCCAATAGTTCTGGTTTAGGCACGCCGGATGGTCTGCCATATCTGGCTTTTTTCACCGGCTATTTCCCGTCAAATAGAGTGCAAGACCAGCGCCTTGCCTATAGCTTGGACAATGGAACAACATATACCAAGTTCCAAGGCAATCCTATCATATCGCAACAGCAAGAGAGTCCCCACGATAGCACTGGAGGATTAGAGAGCCGTGATCCAAAAGTCTTCTTCCACGAATCAACCGGTCAATGGGTTATGGTCCTCGCACATGGAGGACAAAACAAAGTGACGTTCTGGACATCGCCAGATACGAAGTCCTGGACCTGGCAGAGTGATTTCACATCGAGCAGTATTTCGGGACTGCCATCTGGTATTACTGGTTGGGAGGTACCTGACTTTTTCGAACTGCCAATTCAAGGAACAGCATCGTCAACAGCCTGGGTTTTGATGTTGACTCCTGCTAATGGGTCTCCAGCTGGTGGCAATGGTGTTCTTGCATTCACCGGTTCGTTCGATGGTAGGGTATTTACCGCCAATTTAGTTGATCCAAATAATCTGTGGCTGGATTACGGACGGGACTGGGATGGAGCCATGAGCTGGGAGAACGTCCCTGCGTCTGACGGGCGTAGGGTAGTTGCCGCTGTGATGAACAGCTATGGCACTAATCCCCCAACCAGCACGTGGAAAGGAATGCTTTCCTTCCCTCGCACGCTTACGGTCCAGCAATTCAACGGGACACTACGATTTCTCCAGCAACCGGTGATAGAGTTACACACGGTTAGTGGGTTGCTCGTGGACATTGCCAATAAAACCATTTCACCCGGGCAAACGCTTCTGTCAACGACCAATGGAATAGCGCTGGATATCACGATGTCCTTTATACCAACCGCAGGTTCCACGCTCTCTTTAGCTGTCCGCAAAGGAGGATCTGAACAGACGTTTGTAAATTACACGCAGTCAAGCGCACAAATGTCAGTGGATCGAAATTTAAGCGGTGATATCTCATACGACCCGAATGCAGGCGGTGTTCACGTTGCAAAGTTACAACCCGATGCCACTGGAGCTGTTCAACTCCGAGTACTTGTGGATACATGTTCGCTGGAGGTTTATGGTGGACAAGGTGAGGCTGTGATCTCGGACCTGATTTTCCCCAGTTCTACATCCGATGGCCTTGCCTTGACCGCAAGCGGGGGAGACCTCTATCTGCAGTCAGTCCAAGTCCGCGAGGTTGCACTTTAGCCAGAGGCTTTCAGCAGGACATGTTATCTTGGAAAGTTCGTGATGCGATGCTGTTATGTACAACCGGTCAAACCCGCTTATCGCTGAATGGCCTTAGCATTTAGCCACTGCCCACACTCTATGCTACTTCCATTGTTGTTTAGCCTGTTCCGCACCTTTCAAATTCCAAGCTTTTTCGCACAGCTTATGACCCGTCGGATTGAATCTAAGTCTCTTTTTAGCCCCCCTTCACTTTCTGATATTCTCTGCTAGATCAAATTTTATAATGACCAGTTGGATATCAACTAGGAGTACTGGAAATTTGGTTCCCTCTGGTTTAGTTCCTTGAATAGCTTGCGGTCCCACCGTTATCCGTCCGGCCCAGTCTCTTCTCCACGGGCAGGCTTCACAGCTTTTCTAGGGAAAAGCAAATACTGGCATTGTATGAAAGCCAATAGCAACTCAGAGTAGTGAACATTTGTGGGTCGTACGCTCAATACATTGCTGCCCCACTGCGTCAGCCTGTCACCCTGGGTTACTACATAGGCAATTCAATGAAAATAAATTGGGAGAATTGTCAAATTGTCAAGTTTTCCTTGTCTGCGCCATCCTGTATCCTCCTGAGGATAATATAAGAGAGTGCTTATCTGAATAGACTGCCCGATACTTGTCCGTGATAAATTATACTAATGGGTAGTCTCACTCTGATCGAACGAATTAATGCAATACTACGAGCATTACGACCCTATTCCCCGATAGAGTCTCGCTCTTCGCATAGGCTCTCATCGTTGGCACGTATTCTGAGTTCGATAAATCCCGCTTCAGATTCACCAGTTCTTCCTTGTGACGTGATGTATGGCCAGACACGCTCTATAGAACCTACGCTTAAAAATGAAGAACAAGTGAATATATATATATGAGACTAACTTACCCGTAAGGCGCATTCGCGAAGCGCTGGACTCCGCTCGATCGCTCACTGGAATCCAAAGACACCAGGAAACAATAACCTTTCTTTGGGGATTCCAGGCCATACGTCAGTCATAGACTATGGACGTCCAGGACGTCCAAATCATGGCGTCAAACTCCAGGGGAGCTGCAGGGACACCACCGGTACAAGATGCTTATTCCAAGTACATTACATAGTTGTCAGAATCATACGGTGCAACAATGTGCCAAACGCTTAATTGAAATGTTGGTTAACGTAAAGCATTAGATATACTGCGTCGATAAATAAAATGCTTGATGTCCTCTATTAGAAGTTTAGCATTATATACTTCGCCCCTCCTTTCTGGTAACTAGCATAATATAGTTAAGCGATGATACACGACTACGTATGTCGACCTGTTGTTTATCTTGACCCTTCGCTACGCAGTTAACGCTCTCTAGTATCTAAAAGAAAACCCGCGGATCAGAACATTAGGTGGTAAGGTAAGACTCGCGAGGTCCTAATAAGGGGATTGTTTCTAGTAGCATGAGTAACGATAATATCACCGAATTTATTAACTATGACTACCTACTTCTTTTCCTAATTAGCTATAAACAGCTTCCTTAGCGGGAAAGGTATTGTATACTTTTAAGATTGTGTAGAGACTCCTCAAGCGGTACTTTAACATGCAACGCTATTGCAGAGGGCATAACCGGGCAAAGTTATATTAAAGTAGTGTTGAGCCTCGAAGTGGAAATAGGCTAGAGATAGAGAAACTACTACCTATCGCAGGTTAACATTACTTGTAGGCTTATTGGTTTGCTATGGTGATCATCTAGTCCTTAGTTTCGCCCGTATTCGCACTTAACAAAGTATTTGTGGGTTTCTACATATACACGATGGGACTCACAATCGGGAGGTTTCAGGTATTTGACGGGGTTGCGGAGACGGCGACTACGTACGTTGCATTACATTTAACAATCATAATAGGCCTTGAAGATATGGTGCAAAATTGTGAATGGAGTAGCCCGTCCCGGTCTTCTGGTAGCATCAAGCTTCAATTTGCTCCGCATGAACACTACGGGTGTCCAGTTTTACCTCGCCTGTGACGATATGTGCAGTCTCCTTCGCCTTCTGCTTGAAGTGCCGTGGTTTCACCTTGAGAGCAAACAGTTCATCAAGTTTCTCAAATGATATTCCCTGAACAGACCATTAGCATATATGCGCTGCAAGGTAGAGCCTAGACTTACCTTGGTCTCTGGATACAGGAAGAATCCTCCCACAGCAGCAATTAAACCAGTGGCCAGGAAAATGAATCCTACTTTGCCTCCGAGGTTTCCGGCATCAGGGTTAATCTTCATGGTACAATGTTAGCAGGGGCGAAGCCGAGGGGGCATATTGGAGAGTGTATGTAGCAAGGAATTAAGACGTACCATGTAAGGAATAGTGAACTGCATAATAAGGCCCCAAACAGCGTTCGAAATGGTAACCAGGCCTTGAGTCGCACCACGGAGGCGCATGGTGGCAAGCTCCGATGCAAGCACAAATCCTGTAGCCCCAATAGAAAGCTGGTAAATAATAGCCCATACGTATATAAAAGCAACGATGCCCCAACTCGCTTTGGCACGATCGGGGATGCACCCCATGACTCCAATGAGCAGAAGCATAGCGCAAAGGGCAAACTGAGGTCCAACAATCAAAGTGCGGCGACCGATAATCTCCGTGAGTGGAAAAGCAGCCATACTCGCGAGAAGCATGACAACATACAAAGCCACAGACGCATTAAAATAATCATTGACGCCGATGAGCTCAAGAAAGTATGTCGCGTAGCCTATAACGAAAGTCGCACCGATCATTTGTTGGGCGCTCGCTGCGAAGATGGCCGTCATTGTCCGTTTGAGGTTGGTGCCTCGGAAGCACTCGGCCTCGGCCGAGAAGTTGATGCCACATATTCGGCCACGGTGTCTCGCATCGATATCGCCCTGAATATCTCTTGTCACACGGATCTCCGCTTCCATACGATTGATTTCGGCGTCATAAAATGATTCATCCCTGAAGCCGTACACAACCTTAAGAGATTTTCGGCCCTGGGCCGTCTTGCCCTGGCGGATTAGCCAGTAAGGCGATTCTGGGAAGAATAGCCAACCAGATACGAGAATGACTAGGCACATTGGTTAAAGAGGCGCATCTCTTAGAAGTATGGAGAGGCAGAGGGCTCACGCGGAAAAATGTACATGGAGACAACAGGTAGCCACCATTGCCTGCAAAGTGAAGTTAGTATCGGTCGCAAATACAAGTACAGCCTTGTAACTTACCATTTAGTTGTCAGATAGCTGCTGCCTTTCGATACAGCCACACTAAACAAAACAATAACTTTATGAGTCGAGTTCCATCACCATATCCAGGATGGTTGCTCTCACATTGCAAATTGCCCGAAGACGATACTTGTATTGAAGAAGCAGAGAAAGAACCCCCGAAGCTCGGGGCGACAAGTCTCTCCAATCCAGAGGGGAGAGATTGTAAACATCATCCCGATGGCAATGCCTGTTCAGGGATCAGTAACGCGAACTGAGAGTGCGAGTGATCGCAGGATGTACCATTGATGCCACGGCCGGCAAGGTGTACTGTCCAATCACCTGCCAGCTGCTGGAGGAGGATACCTCCCGCGGAGATGAAGGCAGCAACCAGAATCCCAGGCTTCCGCCCAAACTTCTCGAGCAGTGGCGCGAAGATAAACGTTGCGACAATCTCACAAGCCGGAGCGATAGAGCTCCACGCAGAAAGATAATGAGCAGGAATCAAGTAACTGCCGTTCGCCTCCAGAATGCCAAATTTCTTCCGGAACTGGGGCAGGGCCGCTAGCTGACCACCACCGACGAGATCGTAGCCCTGCATTACCACGCCGCTGGATATCCAGAGAGCTGGTTTTAACGAGTCAGCACCGACTGTATGACGGGATATCGGGGGAGAGAGCACGTACACCACAATGCGAAGCGCCATTGTTCTCTCAGCATGCGCCACTTATTGGCGGAGTCGATGACCGAGTAGTCTACCCTGCAGGATGAGCCATTAGCTGGGTGTTCAGCTTGCGCTTATGGGCGGGCTAAAACGCACCGTGGGAACTCACATGGTCGCCAGAGTCTCGCTCGTTGGAGAAAGCCTGATTGAAAGGGAAGTGGTCTTGCAATTAGGATCCTCAAGATTGCCAGGGAGTCCTCAGAAGGCTTTATAGACATCTCACGGCGGCTTCAGCGCTTGGAAAACGTCTCTAGGAGTTTAAGGTTTCGAAAAACGAGTGCCAAGCCATGGGGACACAATATGGGGAAGAATAAGCGTGGATTGAAAAGCTGGGGGAACTGTCTTGAGTTTACACGGACGGGTTCGGTTTGGATCTTTTAGCACCTCCGACTTCGGCGCGGAGCAACCTGATAGCTCCGCGATACGTCACGGCCATTCCCGCTTTCCTTCCTGTATCAATCATTATGCCATAGAATGGATATGCAGCATTTTTCTGCATACCTCAACACAAGACTTTGAGAAACAGCAATACTACAAACTGATCAACACCGAACCCTGAACACTACGAAGCCCAAACTCGGAGACGACGTGTCAAAAGTTGAGCCGTGTCTTTGGGGTGTGGAGAGAGTCGTCACGTGCCGATCGGAGTCTCCGTTGGCCGGTGCAGCGCACGACGCGGGTTTGATAATAGCGACATGACGGTTCCTGTAGATCGCATTTCCTTCTTCGTGTACGACATGCTTCATATGCTAGAGTTGTGCTTTTGTTCTTGTTTCGGTGGCGTGCTTCCATAGTAAAGGGTACTCTCAGTATGAACTGCGGAGGGGGAAATGGACTCCGCTTTTGTCGGTACCCCGCTCTTTGACCCAACTTGACTCGGCGGAGAATCAACGATGCTCCGCGACACCAAAACCCCCTTCCTGTATCTTAGGTTAGTAGACTCTGGTGCATGCTGGCGCTCTTCGCGGCTCGAGATGGTTAACCGCGGTAACAGAAGAGAATCCTCTCCCGGAGGCCGAGCATGCCTATTCCGATCGCGATAAGCCGAAGCTCTCAGCTTTATTGAGGGGTTTTGCCAAGCTGTGCTACAGACTCTCAGCGCCCTCCAGCCCGCAGGCCACCAAAAGTGGTAAATAGGGCTTTCAACGATATTACCTGCAGGCGTTGGTGCTTATCGCCATCCCACGTGGTTGGCCGAGAATCTCCAGTACTGGAGCATTCGCCGATCGGTCGCACCCATTTGAAAGCGAGATTCGAGGTTGGACAGATTACGATTTGACTTCATGGTCTGCGGTCTCACTGCCAAAGATGGGACATTAACGCGAGGGCATACATACAATTTTGACGAGATTGGTTTTTGATTGGATGGCGGTCAATTCTCGGACATATGTAAGGCTTATGCGTCTTGGTCAATTGAACTTCCAACGGCCAATCAGCGTGAATCAGACCCTGCAATCGAATGTGTGGTGCCAAAAGGACTTTGGGGACTGCGAGCAATATATTTTCTATAGATCCATTACATTCCATGTGGACATTCGGGATGGATTACATGTTTTGCTTGAAAGTTCCATTGCGATCAGAAGTTTGATCGCACCCAAGCCCAACAGGAGCCCTACTCCGCGGAGGCAGGCGTAGAGACAGACGCTGTTTGTCGCGGAGGTATTAGTTTATTCCGCGTGTCAGGGTCAATAATCGAGCCAAGGAAGAACCTGATGGCTTGGCAGTATAGCTTGAGGTTATAAAAGAACGCAAGGACGGCGTCCTAGATCCTGGTTGCGTCAAATCCATCCTTCGACAAAACCGTCATCTCTCGCAAAATGCCTATCGGAAGTGATCTTCTAGCCAGCCTGGCCAAGAGAAAAGTCGCCCGCAGTGCTCGGGTAGCTAGTTGGGACCATACGGGCCTCAACGAAGACGCCTTTGTCGTGCTACCCGGAGAGTCCATTGTGCTCGCCGATCTCGAAGGACCCGGTGCTATAACGCACCTGTGGTTTGTGCAGACCTGCCGCAAGATCCTAGGCCCAGGATTGATTCCCTACTCCAAGTCTGGGGTCGCGATGATGGAGATCCACAACGCCCTCGGCCTCAACTATGAAGTCAGCGACCCGGACTACTACCGCAAGGTGCTTATCAAGATGTACTGGGATAATTCCGAGACTCCGAACGTTATAGCGCCCATCGGGGACTTTTTCTGTCTCGGTCATTCCATGGCTGCCAACTTTCAGTCTCTCCCATTTACGGTGTCAGTCAAGCCATCCGAGGAGAAGAAGTTTGGCGGCGCGGCGGCGTTCAACTGCTACCTCACTATGCCGTTCAATAAACGCGCACGCGTTGAGATCGAGAACCAGAACGACGAGGCGTATTTCCAGTACTTCTATATCGACTATGAACTGTACCCGGAGCCTTTGCCGGCGGATACGCTTTACTTCCACGCTCACTGGCGCCGCATGAACCCCACGAATGGCTGGGCACCGTCCCGCATCCAGACCAATAGCCTCGAGACGCAAGTGCCGAACCTAGACGGAAAGGACAACTACGTTATTTTAGAAACTGAAGGCAGCGGGCAGTACATTGGCTGTAACCACTCTGTCGCACACTTCCAGGGAACCTGGTGGGGTGAAGGCGACGATATGATCTTCATCGACGACGACACCTGGCCGCCGAGCATGCATGGCACTGGTGGGGAGGATTATTTCACGCAGGGATGGGGCATGCAGAAGAATGCGTACCCTTTTTGCGGCACTATCATCCATGAAGAAGACGTGCCCAACTACCAGGTCAGTTACCGCTGGCACCTGACGGACCCCGTGCGTTTCAACAAAAGGATTAGAGTGACTCTGGAATCTGGGCATGCGAACCATCTGCGGGATGACTGGAGTACTACAGCGTACTGGTACCAGACCCTTCCCGGTCCAAAGCTCGATATCCTGCCCGTGGAGAAGCGCATTCCGCGCAAACCTCAGTTCCCGTCCGCGGATGATGTACCTGAGCCAGATGTGAGCAGCATGAGTGCCGAGAAGCAGGCTATGGTAAATCAGCGCGATAAGCGAATGGAGGCATTTGTCCAGGACAGGAATGAATGGTTGGCACGGAGGGCGCGCGATTCTCAAGCGCGTGCACGCACTAATGTTGAAATTTGCAAGGACATCCGGCAACGCTTCTTGGGGGGCTTGGGCATGTAGCGAGAAAATGCAGTCAATACCGATATCGCACTCGAATCTCATAAACCTTATTGACTCTTGACTAGACGAGTCGAATGTTCTGAAGTTTCTTTAACAGAATTGGGGAAGGTGGATGTGGTCGAGTTATCTTGCTAAATAGTGAAGTGCAGAATCGTATACCTTGAACAACGTGCAATTAGTCGCGATTAAGCGCGTGCGTGTAAAATAGTGTCTCTATACATTTAATCTTTCCTGACGGAGAGCAGTGTTGCTGGTAGATTCGTCTTGGTGAAAGCTACCTATCGATAGGTGGACAACGCAGTGTCCTTGGAAGTGGTTGGCTCTGGGTGGCCAATATACGCAGCAGGAGGTACAGCTCAGTGCGAAATATTCGACGGAGATGGTGGATTTTTAACCGATTACCAAAGCCAGATTATGCCTGAGAAACCCATCCACCCAAACTTAAGGAATAGAATTTGCTCCGCGGGGAATCGCCGTTCTCTACCGGTGTCAAATGCTGGGTAAAGTGCGGGGTACCGAACCCACAACAAGCGGAAGCCACGTCCTCCTCCGCGATTTATACCGGGCGACTCCGTCAACGCTTCCACACCGTACCCTTGACTATGGAAGAACGCCGCTCAAGCAAGAGAAAACGCACCACCCTAGCATGCGATGCATGTCGCACACGGAGAACCAAATGTGATTCGCAGAAGCCGTCATGTCACTATTGCCAAACTCGCGGCGTGCGCTGCATCTACCAAGAGCCGCCAGTGGAGCCCCCCGATCGGTAGGCGACCACTCTCTCCGCACCGCGAAGACTGGGCTAACATTCGGGATAGTGTCGAGGAAGCACTGAGTGCCATGAATAAACGTCTCGATGTACTTGTCAGCTTGATGCTTCCCACACAGCCCATTTCCCCCAGCGTTCATATGGGAGGATCCCGGTCGGAATATGAGGTCTTGGCAAGCCAAGAGGACTCGCCATTTGACTTGCCTTCCAAGCTGCTTAGTAATTCATCACTCATGGATGTACTAGGATTAGACGCCGATTTCGCGCAGGTTCTGCTCCGGGGGGAACGGACTATCTCGTCTGAGGCCAACGCGAGCGCAGGTACACGGATGCTTGTTGTTCGTCATCGGCATATAGTGAGGTAGGTGAAGCCCAATGCGAACAAGGTAGTTAACTATCTGCAACTAATTACCTCATTAGCGCCTTGGCTGCATTCTCCGCACACGTCCACATCTGGTATCCCATTCTCCCGTTAGGATTTTCACAAGAGTACTTTCGGGTACTCTCTGGATCCTTGCCTCCCTCTTCGGAAACTTGCCTTTCCCTTCTTGTGGTCGCCATCGGTCTTGTTGTCGAGGGAGACGAAGCAGTCCCAGATATCCCATATTTTCAAACCGCTCTCACCTTGCTGCCAATCATCATCTCCGAGTGCAGTGTTCGCAGTGTTCAGTGCTTAGTGTTAATCAGTTTGTATTATTGCTGTCTTTTGAAGCCCTGCCAGGCACACGACTATTGCTTGATTGCGTCTTCCAAGATCCAGAACATCATCAAAAGGTGATATACCCATCCTGGCCATGGTGAAGCAATGCTGACGTATTTAACCCAGTGGGCTGGAAGGTGATAATCCAGATACTGTTGACCAAACTCGGCGTGCATATTGGGGTGCATTACTACTCGAGAAGTATGCAGTCCGACCCTGCTAATTATGATTCGTCGCTGACTTCAGTTGAAGTGAAATTGCTGGCCAATTGGATGTCCCCAAGAGTGGCATATGGTATCTGGATGAACATGTCCCACTGCCACTATGCCAGCAGACATGGGAATTTCAACCACGGAACATGTCCCTAGCTGATACTGCACCTGCTCCCTCGGGTATTGCACTGTCTGCTCTCTCAAACAGGGAAAATATGGAAAATACGCGATCCTACTTCCTGGCAGAGATTGCCATGAGGCGTATGCTACATCGATGCAACACAGCTGTTCAGGCGACATCCGCGGGGGAGTACGTTTATGCACCGAGTATCGCACTAGAGCTGGAACACCAACTGGAAGAGTGGTATCTTTGCCTACCGGAAATGATCCGTTTTGAAAAGGGCGACCTGTCTCAGCCCTTAGAAATGGTCAAAATCCCGCCCTGTCCTCTGTCGAACTTTCTGCGGGTCCAGTACTACTGCTGCAAGCTTTCCATATACTGGCCGGCCGTTTATCAGGCGATGCAGGATGGAGCCGTTTCCGACCGTCTTCTGGATCATTGCCGGACATTCTTCGATTCCTACATGATGTTGACACCGAGTATTGTTGCGGCGTTTGATAACTGTCGGGTGAACAGGTGGACATTATTCGTCAGGTTGGTTTGGAATCTCTCTATGATTTGGGGGACTTAGTTTACTAACATTGCTTGATAGTATTTTTATCACTTCCGTGGCCGCCATGACTGCAGGGAATACCCCATGTTTGAGTGAGCTCTGTTCACCCCAGTTCCATCAATGTATCCAAGCATCAGGTCGCGTCGACAAGACGGTATTGCAGCAGAGCCCATCTTTGATGATGTTGCAGGAAGTACTGGAAGAGCGACTTTCAGAGGCTAGTTTGTACGGAAAACGCAACAATTAATGGCAATACGTTTTGATAAGTTAATAAAAGTTGAACCCTCTTGACATGTGCTCATCCGCGTCTTATTTCCGAGTACTCGATAAGCCATTCCAAACAGTGACGTCTTCGATAAAAGCGCTCCCTGGGCCCCCATCAGCAAATGCCGATAGGGCGGCAGGGCCAATACCATCCGGAGAATAGACCATCGTTGCAAGAGCAAAGCGATCATTTGCAAAGATCTCCAAGACGTCCGCATCTGCGATAATGCGAATACACAAGTCCTCTAATTTGTCTTTGGATTCGGCTTCTTGATCGTTGGCCTTATAGAAGAGCGTAAAGGGCCCTTGCTCCGGGCAATTGCGTATGTTGTGGTTGAATGCTGGTCTCCCCTTGTTGACGCTGATCGTTTCTTCCTGTGGCGAAAAGATGATGGCAGTGCATACGGACGGGTCGCCATTGTGGCTGATAGAGAAACCTACCTCAAGGCAGCGACTTGGGTCAATGGTAATAGTTGCCTCGAGCTCCCAGGTCGTGAACAATTCGGAGCACAGTGCCTGTTTTGCTTGGCCTGCCGAAGATGGGAGTGAAATATGACGGCGTTCACAAACATCATTGCAGGACCCGCGGAGTTGAGTAATCTCTTCCACTGGCCGAATGCCGAGAGTGTATAATGTGACTGAACCGTCTCCATCTGGAACTTTCTCAACAGACGCTATTTCCGAGAGAGGACTATGAAGTGCTCGAGTAACACTTGGTATGGGAAGGAGATAGAGTTCGCGGGCAATAGCTAACGCACCGTTCCACCCTTTGCTTTTGGCGTAATCGGCTGTAATATCCTCCTCGGGTATCCATGCGTGCATTATATGTCTCCTGGATAACGCATCGAAAAACGAATTTGCCGCATATAACGACCCACAGTCCAAATAGCCGCCATGAGTGAAGTTAACACGAGCGGAGTCTCTCCCAGCCCGCAAATCACCAAACATCCACAATAGAGAACGAACAGTCCTTGGAGGAACGTGTAGGTGGTTTTTAAAATTCCGAATGTGTTCCCGTTCCACGTCTCCTTCCGCACCAAGGATGAGGCACACGCGGCTAGCGCTATGGGATCTAAGCGTCAGGAAATTTGCGCATTCCCAGTTGACGCCGAAGTTCCCAGACCACTTCTGCGAGGGTTGAAATCGCGCAGACATATCGACCAAGGGACACAAATAGTGCCATTTGGATAAATTCTCATGCAGCACGGAATATAGGAAGGCCGTCGGTCCGTAGCCATCGATTCCGCCCGAGACAAGACCATACAGGGACTTCTGTCCACGGAGTTGGTCCAAAGCCGGCCATTCCGATAGGAAGGGATCACGGAAGCCAGTTACTCGAATCCCCTTGGGTTCGCCTATCAAGATTGGGTTTTCGGAGCATTTCGTCCAAGTCTCTCCGTTATCGTTAGATTCAGCGATTGCTAGTCCAGCGGCGTTGCGGGGATATGGCGGTGTGCTCCAGTGAAAAGGCAAACGGCAGACAGACGAGTAAATAACCTTTAGCGAATCTTGGGAATTTGTGGGTTGCACCATGCAACCAGTAAAAACTCCATCACGGTCGTAGGGCTGGTCGGGTACTAAAGCGGGAGTAGTTGAGGGTGTCCACGAAACGAGATCTTTGCTGGTAAGATGACCCCACGACATAGAGCCCCATACAGTGCTATGTGGATTGCCTGGACTATGTCAGTGGAATCCTCTCGCGGCGCCGGAGATACGTACATTGATAGAAGACATGGTATAAGCCGGTGGCCGGATCATAACCGGGCGCACAAGGATCGTTGATCCAGAAGCCAGCCGTGAAATGCAGAGAGGGCTTGGTGTGATCAGAGGCCATTCTTGCTGCATTTCAGATCAAACTTATTGTCCAACTTACAATATATATGCGGCTCTTGTTGCCATGGCCCGTCAAACCCGAGCACGGCATGTACTGAGTATCGCGGAGTCCCGGACTCCTCCCGCTAGGCGCCGATCTCGGTAGTTACGTGTCGCGGAGTGACGCTGGAACTCCGCGAGACCCTAACATCCATAAAACTATCTCACAGTATTTGCGTGCCCTGTGATCTATACCGCAATTGCAAGACTTTGGCAAAATATGGTAGCGGGCAGCTAAGACCAAAAGGGCCAAACAACCTAGGCTTAATGATCCAGTATTGTGCCGGGCGCGTATACAGATGTGAATGTTCCTAGCGGTGCCGATAGCCGTTTGAAATCTTATTAGAAAAAGGTACCTTCATAGCAAGTGTTTTTCCTTCAGCAGCCTCCTGGCTGAGGTTCACCGATAACCGAGGATATCTCTAAGCACAGGAAGTAAGTAAGTAAATTGGAGGGGGAGCAAGACTTGTCAGCACATCGAACTCTGGATGTCTGTACCAGAAGGAAAACAGCAGATAATAGATAGCCACCAACTAGCTTTACAAGAACCTTTGGGCCGCTTGCAAAAGAAGGTGGCTTAGACTTTACATACAAGCCTAGTAATACAAAAGACCAGTCTCTGCAAGCCAGACAGACAAAGGGGAACGAACTGGGTGTAAGTCATAGAAGTAAGACCAGACGACGCAGGAAGGAAACGGAGAAATCTCCATAACTTAAATAATCAGACTTGGCTGAATATTATAATGGGGGTACCTGGAAGTGAATCAGAGGATATGTTTGACCTAGCGTGGCCCCTCCTTAGCTGGTCACAATGGGCCTCGAACCACTGCCTTGGGTTAGAATCATGCGGCGCTCAGGAATTGAATCTCTTGAGTGCTCTTATCACCGAGAACTCTGCTGCATTCCTATGATACTGGATTGAAAGGGATTACAACCACGACTTCGATATATTGAAGAACCAAACTCTGGTCCTCTTTAAACCGGTATCAGTTTCTTGCAAGCATGGTCCCAATACCTGATTGGATTTTGCATTATATCTACAATTTCCCTCCTTCTACAGACGGACAAAGAAAACAGCCCATGCGGGTCTAGTGGTTGGAATATCCAGGTCTGGCACGGAGTCACTTCATCAAGCTCTGCATATACTGGGCCTGGATCATACGCACCATGGCTTCGATACAATCATTCCCCTATCTTCCCTAGAGGCGTTATACAGACGTCTGCAGAAGAAGTATACCACTGAAGCAGAGGCAAAGGTAATACTCAATACCCATCGTGATCTTGATGGATGGTATAATAGTATGAAGCAAGCCATGGGATATTTCGACGATAACCCCATTGAGTGTGACTGGGCGAAAAGCTGGTTCAGTGCGGACTTATTCTGGATACGCCAATTCATGTGCCGCACAATGATGCCGCGCTTTTTTCAGGGGAAATTCCATTCCAATGGTAGGTGGGTCAATAAAGAGCATACTGAAATGATACATGGACGGGTCACTTGTCGCTGCGGTCGACCCGTTATGGCCAATCTACACTCTTCTTGCTTCTTTTGACTGCGTGAGGTCGCCAATAAAAAATTATAGGCGATTGCTACTCGAGTGTCGCCTAACTGTGAGTGGGTAGGTTGAGTGCGCAATGACAGGTTGGCTAGCCGGGTTATAAGTTAACGGGCGATCATCACCATCTGTTGTGCAACCACTGCCAAAGTTGCCGTGTCAAAGCTTGAATTTCGGTGAAGCTGTCCAAACAATACCGCTCCCCAGGGCCGTGAGTGACGATGTTGTAAGGCCATAGGATATGGTCACACCGCCGGGCTCTGGCCCGTCACAGTACCCTATTAAAACCTAGCCTAATTTTGGATCCCTACAACTACCCTTTCACCTTGAGCTACGACCTTGAAAATTTACTAAAATACATGTGACCCGCTGTTCTACAATATGACGTTATTATGGCCAAGTGGCATATCATGTGAAATTTCTCTTCTCTCCAGTAGTAATTATACTAGAATACAAAAAGCTAACCTCAAATTATGTGGTGGTGCTGCAACGTCAGGTCGGCTTCTCCCCCATGGTCTCCATTATTAGGACCTCCCAACATCAGAGACTTGAATCCCAAGTCGCTCCGCAGAGCCCTTAATTATGTCAATTGTGCTCGTCACTTTTTTGTCAGGAAAAATAATTCTTGTGAGTAGCCGCTCTGATGCTTCTCGGTAAACGTCGAGGCCTTACCCTCAGTATTATCTATATAGCTTCCACCGATTATTGCCTCGGAGCTGGCCCTAAGTGGTGTTGAGCCAGAGTATGGACGTAGTTTCTGCAATCAGGTCAATAGGTAGACTCTTTCATGGCGTCGTTGAGCATTATACCGAGGTTCGACAAAGTTCATCATTGAGCCGATCTCTATTGCGCGAGACAAGACCCACGATCTTTTCAAAACTCTCGGCTCTTTTGCGAGTCCAAAGATGCGGGATGTCAATCTGTTTTTCGCCCAGTTTTCCGAAACCATTCTTCTCGAGCCATACAGAACACTCGCTGTGGAGTGCAAGAAGTCGCTGTGCTTGACTAAAGCACGGGTCGTTTCGCAGCCCTTGATCAATCAATTTTCGCTCACCTTGACTGAGGTAAGTTTTATATGTTTGTAGCCAAAACGAGAGATCAGTTTTGCCAATTCGATGATTCCCTATCCCATTGTAGGCAGAAGTAATAGCAGTGAGAATAAGCTGCAATGCCGAAACAACATCAACTGCCATTATGTTGTACCGGATAGCAACAGAATCCAAGAAAGTATTCTAATTGAATAGGAGGAACGCTGTATATCTTCGTCGAATACGACTAAGGGTTTATAAAGCATAGAAGATCATGTCAAAGTCTCTGGAAAAAGAGACATTTTCTAAGACCTGAAGCTAGATAAGCAAGGTAGTTTATAGGGTGACAAGAAGTGCGATAATTTCCATGGTAATTCAATTTTTATGTTCCCTTGCTTACGGTTAATGACTGCCGTAAGCGTCGACGGAAATGGCTCCTGACGTGGGCACCAGATGCGCTCGGAATGAAGAGGGAGAAGAGAAAGAACGCCACCAATACGGTCGGTAGCTTCATAAGCTTTTTAGACTAGCCATACCAAGCCCCACCTAACAACTGACATTTAAGCTTATCCCTTGCTTTTCCAGGTCTAGACCCTTGACCGATAAATACAATTGATAGTGGGCCGGAACACCTTAAGTAGCTAAAATGATCAGCGTACGAGACCTTCTAGACCGTTCTAGACAACCTCTGTCTAGAGCTTCCACTTTGGTGCCAATGATGATGTCAAAATCGGCTTGACTAATATACGCTTGACACCTGTTTCCAGACCCCACTGGCAAGGGCTCTGGGGTGAATAAATTATTGAACTGGCTATGTGAAATTGAAGGGTGCAGTAAATTACAATTTGTTAGGTATGTAATATCACAGCGTGTACAAAAATGCCGTGAGTTTATTCAAAGCTGATTCGATAAGTGTATGTTAACGGTAAACCTTAACAGCGTGCGAGTCCACGGGCAGTGGTCGAGTTGGCCTTTGGGGCGTTATCGGCTCCAGCGATACAGAGATTATTTCGTCACCAATCGCACCTTAATTTCTAAGACGTCTATACTTTAGATAAGTTCAGAACATTCTTAAATTCTAGGATCGAACGCAGAGTGAGGGGAGTACCACGATGCATACGTAGCTCGAGATTTATTTCTGCCGCTCGCGATATTTCTCTAGGACGAGATAAGCCGTATAAGGCAGGGAGTTAGGATAGTCGGCATGTGGTATAGTAATTAGGGCCGGATAGCTTTCGCTCATCTAGATCTGTCCTCGGACTTACCTACAGTGTTTTCCTGAAGACTCGAATTTGACTTTGGATGGGGCAGCCCGACCCGACTAACGGTTCCAGCCACGCACGCGAGGGGCCGGGAGCACGCACGGCGGACGAGTCAGGATAGCGAACGAATGCAATGAAGGCTCATAGCTTTGGCTACTAGGGTATAGGCGGATGCCTCGGATGATCGACGGCACCTGGCAAGGTTAAATGCCCTGCGGACTCGCATATTGCCCAGTTTATCTTTAGTATGTATTTACCAATTAAGGTTTGAATGGAAAGTTAATTTGAAGATCATCTGAAATTCCTTTCCATGAGGGTCTTGTATCCGTGGATTGTACTCATAGTATGCTCTGTGGCTGGGGGCTTTCCGCAGGAGCTCACACTTGAATGACGCAGGTCATTCTCCCTATTTTCCCCGTCCACCTATATCCAAGTTAATACAAGAACTCGTTCTTTACCTTTGGAAGGATTTTTTTTCCCTTCTTTTCTTTTTCATTGATGTTGACTAGTTTGATAGTCCTCTAGGGTTCCTTGACACTGTCTACCGTTCCTCCCACACATAATACCCTGAAATGACGTTTGATCTCCTTGAGCGCCGCAAAGAGAAATTTATCCTCTGGATACCCGATACACCAGCTTCAAACCCCCCTTCACTGGTACTTGGCATTTTCAATGGCGGCCCACCGGCTACTATCCATGAAATTTGGAACGGTCAGCTAAGCGTGTCAGACCAACCAGATCTCTGGGAACTCGATCCAAGTGACATACAGCCGCCATTGAAAAATGATACCGTCTATCACTACTGGTTCGAGATCTATACATCATCAGAGCATCTGGGCGCTTTTCAAGTCACCGATCCAATTGCATACACGGTCGACTACAGAGCCACGGAAACGCGGGATGAGCACGTCCAGCCAGCTTCCGTGATCAAGTTCCGTGACGGCAAGCTATGGCCCTGCGACATTGATGGAAATGAGCCAAGCCATGTGGCACCTCCAGCACAAGATGCTATACCGGACAACAATCACCTGGTGATCTACGAGCTCCCGACTTCGTGGGCGAATAAGAATCCGGCTGGGGATGTGCAGGTTGATGTTGGCACCTTCACAGATGTTCTCGCTCTATTCGACTTGACGACTGCTGGTGATCGGTTCCGGGATACTCCGTCTGTTGCTAATGAAGCTATTGTGGCTGATCTGGGCGTTAACGCGCTGGAGCTGCTCCCTGTTGCGGACTCGAAACGAACAGGTGAATGGGGATATGCTACAGCTCACTACTACGCTCCTGACTCGGATCTGGGAACTTCATCGGAGTTAGCAAAGTTGGTGAACAGCATTCACATGAAGGGCATCCGATTCTTCACAGATGTTGTGATGGCTTTTGGGCATGATCCCTATATCTATATAGCTTTCAAGCAGTTTCACCTTCAGCCGGAAGATGAGATAGACAACCAGGACAGCTACCAATCTCACTCCACTGAACTGCGCGAGGGGTGGGGTGGACGACTATGGCGCTACATCCAAGACACCAATACTTATGATCCAGAGTCGGGCAGACCCGGAAATGTCCATCCTTCCTGGTCCTTCCATCTTGGACATCTCCACCGATGGATGTCGGACTTCGGTATAGGCGGTTTCAGGCTTGACAGCGTAAACAACATTGCTAATTTTGATTTCATAAGATCATATACGGAGAAAGCATGGTCTCTCTACAGGTCAAGATACAGGACGCCTTCCCCCTCCAAGTTCCTCGTCATTGGCGAAGAACTCAGCGTTCCCGTCGACATGGTCACCAGTGGCACTATCGATGCACTCTGGAACGAGCCGTTCCAAGGACGCCTCCGCGCCGCCATCCTAGGAGAATCTACAGATGGTGACGACTTTGAATGGACGGTCCGTAAAATGATCAACTGCACGCTCGACCAGTCTCACCCTTTCACGGACGGCGCACAAGCAATAAACTACATCACCTCTCACGACACTGAAGGATCCAGGAAAGAGCGCCTTTTCAACTTCCTTTCCGCCAACCATGTCGATGACATTGAGCGACGAAGTAAACTCGCATTTACGTGCCTCTTGACGGCCGTCGGTATTCCGATGATTTTCGCGGGCGAGGAATTCTGTGATCAAATGGATCGTTCAGTAAGGCAGAAACAAGTTGACCCTGTGAATTATGAGCGAAAGGCAGAGGACTGGAGAGCAAGAGTCTTCAATTACGTTGCAACACTTGTGAGGTTGAGAAAGGAATCCTCAGCTCTAGGGGTTAATGATACGGAGTTCATTCATGTGGATGAGAACTGTGAGGGCAAGATCATCGCGTGGAAGAAGGGGAGCACAAGGCCAGGCGCCTGTGGTTGTGGTGGCCAATTTTACTGATCAGGATACCCCTGGTAATGAGTATTTTGTAGAGAATTGGCCCGAGCGGGAGAGGCAGGGCTGGAGGGAGGTTACTCAGGGGAGGGACGTGCCGAGAGACTGGGTAGGGCGGGAACCGTTGCTGCATTGGGAAGCTAAGGTTTATACCTATTAGGAAGGGAATCCAGGTCGTCATGTCTTGGTGTAAAAGATAAGAGATGGTCGATTTGGAGGCCCATTCTTGGTCCTGCATGAGGCTTTCAGCCGGCGAGAGTGTTAGCTGTGACGGCATCAGCCGTCCTGTTTTCTACTCAAGCGGCCGAGATACTGCCTCTTGGCGGCACCCAGAACATGTGTTGGAACCATTGCTGACGTGTGGAAGAAGAGAGCGGACAAGGGGTTGGATTAGTGATTGTTGGCACGAGCACACTATTCTCCACAAGCAACCGCACTTTTCTTGGTGTTTGAATAAATCTTGTATCACAGGGGTTGATACCAATAGATGATTATCACAAGCGCGCTGCTAATACCCTATACAATATTCTACGCCTCACATTGCCTAGCTGCCTTGCTCCTTGTCCTGATTCATGCGCTCCTAGAACTCGTGCCTCAAAGAGCAGTCCTCCAGACCATCAACTAATCAGGCCCTTCCTCCCGTTCCCCAGATTTCAGATCTTCTGCACCTGCTGACGTCTGCAGGAGTCACTACATCCTCGCCGGCTATTGTTTCAAGCTGATTAGTGGAAAGACCATTCACCCAGGCAGGGGGAGCAACTACTTGGATCGCCCAGGTGACCAACGAGTGATCTGTGGCTTGCATGCAAACATTATCGACGAACTACGAGTGGGTGATCTGAATGGTCTAATGTAACCCTGGTAACCGAATCACCGCGTCCAGCGGTTCTAGCAGGTTGTGGTCGGCGGTGTGGATAGTCCGTAAATTTTTGGTGTTTTGAGAAGAGCTCTATTCCGGGTCGCGCGAAGTACAGGGATAGAACGTACCCGGAATAGCTTAGTCTCCTTTCTGTTGCGACGTCTTTGTTTCTACCAGTCAATTTTCATAACTTAAGAATCGACTCTCGGCCGCCCTTTGATATACATGTAAGCAAAAACATCACACAGTGTTCGTCCCTCCTCCGCTCTTTTAATCTCTACAATCTGTAATCAGCCTCACAAGCTTAGACTGGTTCCCCTTGGTAGAATAGCCTCATTTATCGCATACCGGGCCGTAGTGTCTATTAGGTTGTTGCGATAGCGTGGGTGGGTTAACCCGGTTAACCATACAAAGATGGGGTAATACAAAGTCACCGATCACCGAGGGAGCAGGTTCTAAGTGATTACCACCAGTAGTTATATCACATTCTCAGCTTGACAAACTATATCCAAGCAGAACAGAAACGCCTGCTAGGTCTTCTTAAACTTGTCAATCAAGATACGGGACACTTTCACCTCGGCCTCCTCCGCTGATGCACACGATAGGCTGCCCTAAGCACTAGCTCCCGCTAGGGATCTACAGTCGTACCCCATCAAAAACTATCGACCAACTTCAACTGCGCCGAGATTGTACTGTCTTACTCGTGATCGCTTTGAAAATCCGGAGCATCAGAGATGATTTCAAAATGGCTAACTGGTGAAATATTTTGGAATATAGTGTCACCAAAAAACTGATTGGGATTTGCGGTAACCCCAACAACCCTAAGCCATACAAAATGATTGGGATACGCCGAATCCCAATCACCCCCATAGGATAGGCACGTCGTCTAGAGCTAGATTAAGCAATAATAGAAGCTCGTTGCAACTATCCCGGATTTGCAAGCAGGGAAGCTACCCTACGCTTGTTAGGACCTCCTCTCCTTTAAGTCTCTTGAAGGCACGATTGTAACGGGCCAGGGCCCGGCGGTAAACCATGGGTCATGGCCTTGCAAGCTCTTAGGAACGGGCGGATAGAAGACCAGAACGATCAGGCCGAAGGTTAGGCAGAAGGTCAGGCAGAAGAGCGTGGTGGGGTAGAGACACCCGCTTGTGAAGGGCTGAAGCAAGACTTAAATTCAATCTAGCTAGGCAAACATACTGTTTTCAACAAACTTAAGAAAGAAAGAGAAGAAGAATTGAAAAGAAAGTGTCACGGGCCAGTGCCCGATATAGGTCACGTGTATCACGAGACCTTGGCATGTTGACGTGGAGAACGCGCGGGATAAACTTCCCTTTCTTAAGCTTTTTGTAAACAGCATGTTGGCCTAGTTAGATTGAACCAAGTCTTGCTTCAGCCCTTCACAGAAAGAGAATCAGTCCCGTCTCTTATGCGTATCCGTTCCGTTTCTGGTGGAACCCTTTGTTACGGACCTCAAAGAGGCGCGGGGACCGCAGCTACTTGAGGGGCAACCGTGGACCAATCATCCTACGGACGCTAGGGATTAGCGTTATCACGTGCGTTTCGGTATACTTGGGCATGCCCAGAGGGGCTCCAAGGCAGATACTCGAGGCGGGAGCCAGAAACAGCCTGCGGCTAACCATCACAACTAATACCCACCTACTCGACGGGACGGTTAGCGCGACGCAGGAACTGGCCGCTGACATACGTGACTTGGAGGTATACAGTTGGGTATACCACATAGACTATACGAACAACCAGTCCGATATACCAACCACTATTCCCAACTGTAGACCACAACCACGAAGGGCTGGATATATAATGACACTCATTTCATATTATGTATTTAGTTCTTCGCGATCAATCTCACATTGTTACTTAGTTACTACCTTTAGTACTTTGCACTTCACAATTCACCTTCAAGACAACCTAACCTATAAGTAGGGGATTCACTTAGTAGCAACACTAAGTGATTAACTTACTTAGCGCGCACTTCTAGCACGTTCTGTAAGATACTCAACAGGACCCGAACCCGACGTAAGGCTTACATAGTATCAGTATAGTTACGAGATACTCTTGGAATCCGCAGTTAGAATTAGGTAAGTATTGTCACGGGCCAGTGCCCGATGTTGGTCACGTGTATCACGGGACCTTGGTATGTTGACGTGGGGAACGCGCGGGATTAACTTCCCCTCCTTAAGCTTTTTGTAAACAGCATGTTGGCCTAGTTAGATTGAATCTAAGTCTTACTTCAGCCCTTCATATACAAAAAGCTTCCTTCTACACCCAGAAGTATCATTGGTCATTGGAAAAGCCCTAGGAAAGCGACCTAGGCACTTATTGGAAACACCCCTGAATCCCTAGCGATTCAGCGACGAACACACATCGGAACGGAATCCTCGCGTATAGATCTCTTAGCGCTCGAGACGTATTAGAAAGCTCTAGAAGATCCTAATTCCTAGGTATATTAGAACATTGGACGAAAAGCGACCGAAGTATTACCGGCACGCTACGTAACCCCTAGTAGTAATGCAGCAACAGGAATCGATAAGCCCTCCCGGGTGGGCGCGAACGCTACTACAGCAGATAGCACAGACCTAGGCTATGCAGAACGAAGAAAGGGAGCGGCGTCACTAGCAAGATGCTGCTTAAGAGGAGCGGATGCGTTGCCTCGAGGCAATGCTGGAGTAGCAGGCCTTACTAGCCGTAACGACGACCACAACGAACGAAGAGCAGGCGACACTAGCGCGATCGGCCGCCGAATCAGTGCCGATCCCCCCCCGAACAGAGACGATTCACCGACCGAAGCTACGCCTACTAGACCTAAAACTATTCGGTGGAAGCACGAGCGACTAGCTAACCTGGCGAATTTCGATTGAGAATAAGCTTAGCGTAGACGGTGAAGCTATTGGTTCTCCCTAGGATCAATTTATCTACGTATTCTCTAGACTAGAGAAGCTAGTATGGAAGAACACTGGAACCTTTGTGAAACTCCGCTGAAACACTAGCGAACCGTAGGCCTTGCTCGATTTCCTTGAGAGTATCTACGGAGACCCGAATATTAAGGCACGCGTAGCAAGACGACTCTATTAGATTCGATAACTAGAGGATATGAGCTTTTCTAGATTCCTTCCCTGACTAGAGAAGGAGTTCGCGGATGCAGACGCTCTTAAATGGTACGACGAAGTAAAAAGGCAGATCCTTCTTAGCGCGCTTAATAAGACTATAACGAACGCGTTAATGAATCGAGGTATCCCTGCTACCTCGTCGGGCCTAATCTCCCGGCTCCACGAGATCAGCTCGGATATAGATGCCCTTAATATCAACAGAGAGGAACGAACACGTTGTCCGCGCTCGACTAGGCAGAATAGCGACGAAATGGATTAGGCACCGACTGTGTCGGTAAACTGTGCCGAACTATACACGAAACACCGCCGACCCGAAAGTAGAATACCGAAGTAAGCTTAATGGGTTAGCTAGGACGAGATAGATTAGCGACGGGCCGAAGGGAAATACTTACGATACAGGAGATCTGGATACCTTATCGCGAGGTACGCGTTACTACTAGCACAACGGCTGAATAGTGTGCGTATCGCTACTTCCTCGAGCAAGAAAGAAAAGGGGCGTATAGTTAAAGTAAAGAGGTCGAAGCCTATAAGTAACCTAGATCTAACGACTTCCGACGACGAGAGTGTGACTACCGAGGACAATTCGGAAAAAGAGTAGCTCCTGTTCTAAGCCGCGAGTAGGAGCGAAAGGGGGTTAAAAAGCTACTAGAACGTAAGATATTACTGTTTATAGTCGATGCTAGAGTGAATAGAATTCAATTTATATAAGCTCTTGTCGATAGCGGTTGCCGCTGTTATGCAACAGTGAATAAGTCCTTAGTCTAGGCGTTTAACCTCCTGCGTATTAAGATACGGCTACGAATCCTTGACGGAGTGGTGCCGAATCAGTACTAAATTACCTATATTACCTATTTCGACCTCGATATCTACAGCTAGCAATAAGGCCGGGTATTCGCGTATATTATCGAACCGCAAAGCGATAGTATGATACTTGGGGACCTATAGCTACACGAGGTAAACGGACGATATTCGGTAAAGAAAGGATACCTAGATATCTTTACGAAGTCTAGAGAGCGAACTAG